ACCCGGCACCTTCACCCCCTCACCTTGTAGTCTTCGTCATTGCTTAGTTAAGGCATTCGTAGTAATTCTTATCTTACAAAAATATTAATTAAAACAACGTGAAAATTACTTCACTGGGGGAGTGAAGGGGATGGACACCTCCCTTCTTAAATATTATGGTACCACACTGCCCCGCTTGATAACGATAGTCCTTCTGCCGTAGAGGTCACCAGCACCACAAGGCCAGGGCGCCATAATGAGCTAGAAGCAGCAGATAACAACCGTGGAGGAGTATCGTACAGAACAGTCGAGCGGCAGCCGGAAGCAGGAAGTTCCCGCTCACCGGAACACCGTTGTTGATGATCCCGTCTCTCTCTCTCTCTCTCTCTCTCTTTTCTCTCTCTCTCTCTCTCTCTCTCTCGTGTATTCTGACGTCACATGTAAACAAAATTGTCGATTGGTCCAAAATCACATGCGTGCTGACGTCACATGTATACCGCTGGTATGGGCATTGGTCAAATTTATGTCGACGTCTAATGTTGATGGTGATTGGATATATTTGTTTTAACGTTACATATAAATAAGGGGCATATTGTATCAATCAGGTTTATGTTCTACCGTGGGAATTAATGGAATTTAGAGTATAGATCCATACAAAAAGCGAATGAAATCTAAGTTGCATGTTGCAATTAATGATTTTGCTCAACTGGTTAGTTCAGTAGCGAAGTTAAATCACCTAATACTGGTCAGACAAACTGGGAATCAGGGGTCGATTGTGCTTGAATATTTTAACAAATGTGTTGGCTCACGGTATACTGTGTGTGTGTGTGTGTGTGTGTGTGTGTGTGTGTGTGTGTGTGTGTGTGTGTGTGTGTGTTGAAGCAGTGTTCGTGAGCGAGAGAGAACGAACACTTCATAAGTCTGTAAGAGAGTGAGTAAGATTGTGTTAGTTCGTCATGTGGTAGTGTGTGTGTGTGTGAAATTGAGTGCGTCAGAGAGGAGAGTGTGTGGGTGTTAAAAAGAGCTCCGGACGTCCACAATTTACGCCAGTCCGAACCAAAACAAGAATTTTACTGCCGCTCGTCTCCCTCCCTCCTGTGTGTGTGTGTTACCAGTATAATTTACATACTGTATAGTTTAGAGTAAGTAATTAATAACTTTCAACCATGGATGTATAATTGTAAACATTCATTTTTCAGTGACCTGTAGAGGATGTTCATAGGGTTAAAGCGCTTAGCGATAGACCAAACACCCGGCTCCAGTCGCGCGGAGGTTTAGTTTTATCTGAGTGTGGCAGTATGATGCAACTCTCTCTCTAAGTAGTAGGTAATTCTTTAAACACTAAATATATTGTTCAGTCGTGATAAATGGATACTTTGCTTCACACTTGCAATGCGTCTAGTATGTTAGATAGTTAGTTAAGTAATATATAGGTCAAAGGGATCACTCACCAGCCGGTTGTCTATACACGTTATGTAAACACAGCTGACTGTAGAGTGGCTTGACATTCCGAGGGGTTGGTTAATTCCGCCTTCGAGGAACCTTCTAGAAGCTTGACACATATATCGCTTTGGTGGCGAGTGCAGGAATTACTCTTTACGAGCGTGTCTCAGCCGTGCCCTTAATCAGTCCTTAACTGGACCCCTCTGAGTTAAGATCTATACCTGGACCGCCTCAGTTCTAACACAGAGTCCGCCTCAAGTACTAGACGACCTACACTGAGAACATTCCCAGAACAGATCACTGGGCCAGTCTAATTAACTGTACATTAATTGGACTTGTAAATGCCACAGAGACACCAGGTTGAAACTTTATTGGGACGGATCGAACCATAATTATCGACAGTCTCAGACATTCTACTGATATCAACGGGACTTTAAACAGCTACAAGCAAATTAATATTTAGTGAGACTGTTTACTGACAAGTCTCACTCCTCACAGGCCTACATGCCATGAGCTACATGTGTGCGTGTGTGTCTGTGTGTCTGTCTGTCTGTCTGTGTGAGTTAGAAGAATATTGAGGACTGGCATCTTATCATTCAGTTAGTACAGTGTTCTCTGTAGTTTAAACCCTGACCTGAAGACCTCACTTTCAGGGGCATGATAGATAGAAAGGGGAGGTTAGTGAGACGCAGGGGGAGATATATACTGTGTTATTGTCACCTTGTGTTATTCTATTTCCAGGTTTAATTAGGGGGTGATGTTATTAAGAGTATGACTACAGCTCACCATTGACCCCTGCTAAGTGTGACCTCTGATAGGGCTGTGCTGTAGGCCTGGGGTGGGGGTGATGCGATGTTCCTTTGTGTGTGTTCATCTTACTCGAGCATAATACGACACAGGTTCGAAACAGCAAGAAACAAATGTACTACACCCATCTAGGAAGTCCACACAGGAAAAGATTTATCATAATGACCCGGCCAGGCGTTCCTCTAGGGCGCCATTGGAACCATTCCGTTCTCATTTGAAGAAGATTACCTATCACCTGAAGATTAGGGACCCCATTGCTTATTTTCCCTGATGGTTCAACACTCTAATTTTGTCTGGGTTGGGTTAGGTTAGGGTAGGATTTGTTAGGTTAGGGTAGGTTAGGATAGGATAGGGTAGGTTAGGATAGGATGGGTAGGTTGGGTTTGATTAGGATAAACCAAGTTAGGTTAGGATAGCATTAGGGTGTTTAATCCTCAGGTGATATATCTAGGAAGTAATATCACGTAATTTAAAAAAAAAACAGACATCGACTACCTCTAAAAATTGACCCAAAGTTCCCACGTCAAGTTAGCTGTCCAATTATTACTCATGTTGACATAAGTAGTGACGAGTGTTTATTTATCACACGAGTGGCGACGCTGTGGGTGGGGGGAGACGCTGTAGGGGAGGGAGGGGTAAAGCAACACTCCTGACACGTGGGTTTGTCATTGATTTCCCTCCTGGGTGTATACAAAGGTTGTACATTGATGCAGTAATGACGAAAACTTTCAAATTTTAGTGGTAGAAAGTTGAATTATTTAGGTGTAATGGAATATGAGATGTTGGTGTATCAAGCTCTACCTGGTGGAGGGAACATAGTATAGTGGTGGAGAAGAATATATAGTGGTGGAGGGGAACATAGTGTGGTGGTGGAGGGAACATAGTATAGTGGTGGAGGGAACATAGTATAGTGGTGGAGGGAATATAGTATAGTGGTGGAGGAACATAGTATAGTGGTGGGGAACATAGTAGTGGTGGAGGGAACATAGTAGTGGTGGAGGGAACATAGTATAGTGGTGGAGAGGAACATAGTATAGTGGTGGAGGGAACATAGTATAGTGGTGGAGGGAACATAGTAGTGGTGGAGGGAACAGTATAGTGGTGGAGGGAACATAGTATAGTGGTGGAGGAGGGAACATAGTAGTGGTGGAGGGAACATAGTATAGTGGTGGAGGTATAGTATAGTGGTGGAGGGAATAGTATAGTGGTGGAGGGACATAGTAGTGGTGGAGGGAACATAGTAGTGGTGGAGGGAACATAGTATAGTGGTGGAGGAACATAGTATGGTAGTGGAGGGAACATAGTAGTGGTGGAGGGAACATAGTATAGTGGTGGAGGGGAACATAGTAGTAGTGGTGGAGAGGGAACATAGTATAGTGGTGGAGGAACATAGTATAGTGGTGGAGGGAACATAGTATAGTGGTGGAGGAACATAGTAGTGGTGGAGGAACATAGTATAGTGGTGGAGGAACATAGTATAGTGGTGGAGGGAAAATGGTAGTGGTGGAGGGAACATAGTATAGTGGTGGAGGGAACATAGTATAGTGGTGGAGGGAACATAGTAGTGGTGGAGGGAACATAGTAGTGGTGGAGGAACATAGTAGTGGTGGAGGGAACATAGTATAGTGGTGGAGGAACATAGTAGTGGTGGAGGGAACATAGTATAGTGGTGGAGGGGAACATAGTAGTGGTGGAGACATAGTATAGTGGTGGAGGGAACATAGTATAGTGGTGGAGGGAACATAGTAGTGGTGGAGGGAACATAGTATAGTGGTGGAGGAACATAGTATAGTGGTGGAGGAAAATGGTAGTGGTGGAGAACATAGTATAGTGGTGGAGGGGAACATAGTATAGTGGTGGAGGGACATAGTATAGTGGTGGAGGGGAACATAGTATGGAGTGGAGGGAACATAGTAGTGGTGGAGGGAACATAGTATAGTGGTGGAGGGAACATAGTATAGTGGTGGAGAACATAGTATAGTGGTGGAGGGAACATAGTAGTGGTGGAGGGAACATAGTAGTGGTGGAGGAACATAGTATAGTGGTGGAGGGAACATAGTAGTGGTGGAGGGAACATAGTATAGTGGTGGAGGAACATAGTATAGTGGTGGAGGGAAAATGGTAGTGGTGGAGGGAACATAGTATAGTGGTGGAGGGACATAGTAGTGGTGGAGGAACATAGTAGTGGTGGAGGGAACATAGTAGTGGTGGAGGGAACATAGTAGTGGTGGAGGGAAAATGGTAGTGGTGGAGGAACATAGTATAGTGGTGGAGGGAATATAGTATAGTGGTGGAGGGAACATAGTAGTGGTGGAGGGAACATAGTAGTGGTGGAGGGAACATAGTAGTGGTGGAGGGGAGGAATGTGGCGGGGTGGCGGGAAGCAGGAGAGGGAGGGACGCTGGTCATAGAATGGTTGAGATTATACGGGAAGTCTCACTTACCGCCCACACCGCCCCTCCACCTCGCCTCATCCGCTCTCCCCTGGCTCCTGCGTCCTGTGTCCTACCTCAGGAGGGGAACTTGGGGCACCTCTTACCACCTGGGGCACCTTCTTGGCCCTCACCAGGTACTGTAATGAGTGCAACATGTTATTAATCTGTGCTAATGGGAGTACAAGTAGGCATGCCCCCTGTCTGTCATATAGAACACACAGAATGACCGCAACCTTTGAGTGATGCCGGAATCTCATTGGCCAGGCGGCGGGGACTCGAGTCGTGATTGGTCAGGTTCGCCTGGTGCCAAAGGATGCCAGAGTGGCTCTAGGCTTTGGACCCTGAGCATGCCTAGTGTGTGTTGGCACTTGTAGTGGGTAAGTCGGCCCAGGAGGCGTACGTGGACAGTGCCTGGAGATGGACTATAGTAAGAAGCAGTACCCACCCCTCTGGTAGTGGTGCCTCTGCCTGGCGTGCTCAGTGACACTCCCACACCGCTACACCCCCAGTGGCCCTCAGTGGCTCTCTAGTGAATCAAAGACTCTCTCTACCCGGTCACCGCTCATCCATGCGGACTCTGACGCCTACCAGTTCACCTGCTACCTGACCACCGCCACCACACTCCTACCTCCGTGTCAACTTGGACGTCTCACCCAACCCATGTCTCTTGTCTGAACCTCAGCCGCCTCAGCATTAAACAGCATTAATACGTCCCCGGGTATGAAGCAGTATTGTAATTTTTAAAAATCTTAGTCGCTACAAACACTAGAACAAATTTACTTTGCCGGTCAAATATACAGACTTAAAAGCTTGAGACAAAGCTTAATTACAGCTCCATGTTCAAGGATGGGAGCCATAAAGAGCCGCAGTAATTTAAAAATTCCCGTAAAAGCTTTACATAATACCAAGACTTGATTAGCTGGGCGGACCCAACTGTTGCCTTCTGGTGAGAGAAAAATGTTTTCCTCCTCCTCCTCCTCCTCCTCTTTCTCCAGCTGTAGTGAGCGTCTTCTTGGGTGCTGGGGGACAGGTGGTATCAGTGATCGGACCCTTCGAGTATGTTGTTACTGTAGCCTCACACACAGTCTGAACGGTGTAGTAATAGACAACAAATACGGTCCTTTTCAGCGGTTTTCAGGACCACTTAGCGGGTGACAGTTGCTCACAATATATATTGATTCTTGTCTAGCCGCGAGTTGTATATTTTTTAATTGTCTTCAGCAAAACTACTCACGAGTTTTGAGTAATTTTACAATACTCAAAACGTTCCTCAGTCTTCATTGATTAACAGTTGTACAGGATTTAAAAAAAAAATAACATGTTCTTATTAAAATCTAGTACGTCCGTCTGTCAGCTGAACATAAGTTTAACCGGAGCCTTGAACAACACACAAAAAAATTGAGGTCGCTAGCTTGTTGTACTGTACATCCTGAATAGTGTACATACCGCTGGCGAGTCACACGAGAGAAGTGTCCCGGTGTTGTGAAATGTGGATCTGCTCACTCGTGGAGTTACTGGCGCGTGTTGCTTCATTAACATCTGGCGGTTCACACTCAAGGTTGACGCCGTGTGAGCTGAGCGTGAAGTAAGACCAGTATTCATTGGCCATGTGTTGGCGTGTGGTACAGTATATACTACAGTGTCAGTCAGAGTACCACGGGGCTCAAGGAAGGGCTAGGTCCGTGTTAAGCTTTGTACTGTACTGTCATTTCTAAAGAAAGTCATCTCAAACTCCTGAACATACGGACTCGTTCACAGTCAAGGTAAATCCCGTTGTTGCCATTAGTGAGGTAAACATGGTGATCCTTTGGTCGTGGGGGGAGGGATAGGTTACAGAAGGTTCTGAATGGAGGAGTTTAGTCTCATCATGGCAGGAGGTCTTGGTGGAGCTTTATGAACCGAGTAGGTGCATCAAGAGCGTGGCAGCTGAGTGGATACATTACTCGCCTCCTGTTCCAGGAATCAGTGGTTCGATTCCCTGGCACTCCTAGGGTCCCAGTTCACCCAGCTGTAAATGGGTGGGTACCCAAGTTTACAACTAAGGGAACGAATGCCGTCCAGTGCAGTAACGGCCATGCTGCCTCTTTGTGTACTGAAGGTTTAGTATGCAGTGTGCTGTATCCTCACTGTACCTTACGGACAGTCATGCCTATGGGACCCACTTTCACTTTAAAGTACATCACAGACTCGGTGATTCTTAAACCTGGATAACACCACCACTTATAAGAATGTTGTGTGCGAGAATGGCATTTGTGTCTCACTGTGACCTGACCTTCCTGCAGTTGTCTTGGGCGCCTGAGTCGTATACGACGATGTGAGTGATAGTTTAGTCAAGTCAAAGTGAAAAAGTTTTCTTGTTCTGCCTTAATGTTTGTTCGTTCTTGTGTTCTCCGGCCACATATATTACTGTGTTGGCTGTAACTGTCGCTCAGGTAACTCCTTGAACGATAAAGATTTCTGAGTCAACCAAATTTGGTTGACTGTTTTACATAGATAAGTAAGTTTGAATAATCGGACGACTTTCGTGAGAGTAGTTCCTAACGCGACCCATCCACAATGTGTTCCCATGTTCAGTTATGTATCAGACTTGACGGTAAGCAATTATCGTTAAAAAATATTGTACAAAATCCTGATATCCTGGTTCATGATGTGTCGTGTTGCATGACGTCAGCTTCAAGGAGGACGGACACCACAGTTAGGACAGTGTACAATCTAAATACTAAGCCTTCAGTAAAGTAAAATGCCACCCATTCACAACAGGGAGCACAGCACAGGAGGTTAAGGAACACACTGGGTGGAAAAGATAACCAAACACGTGATCAGGACACAATAGCCTCTCGGAGTCATCCTTCACAACACTTCTCACGTAGATCAGTTGTTACGTAGTGTTGAAACATTCTAGTATGACCAAGAGTTTAAATAATTATTACTTGTAGCTGCCGAGGTATAAGACTGATGCAGAGATGTTCTTTTAAAGGCTGTTAATTAGCTACCTGTCAAGAGTTAAGGTTCTAAGTTGAGTACATCAATTACCTAGCCTATCTACTATCATCATCATCACCATCACCATCACCACCAACATTATCATCATCATCATCATCATCATCATCATCATCATCATCATCATCATCATCATCACTATTATTCACATTACTGGTTTCAGGGTATTTCTGTATCGTGGCCAGGAAGTATTTCGTGGTTCAAGGTGTTCGTTCATTTATCATCGAGACAGCGAGTTATGTCTTAAGTGTTTATATGTGTTTGTTTGTCTAGTGACTGTATTCATATCGAGAGAAATTCTTTATTGATTTTTTTCATGAATAAGTGAAGGTGTGGTCCAGGGTAGTCTTTTTCTTCCTCCGCTGTTTGTTTATTTGTCTTGATCACTTCTTAAATGACCACCAATCAGGTTATGTCTCTCACCTTAACCACCAATCAGCTTGTGTCTCTCATCTTGACCACCAATTAGGTTACGTCTCTCATCTTGACCACCAATCAGGTTACGTCTCTCATCTTTACAAGTGTATATCCTGTTGTTGTGGTTATCTGGCCACACCTGCGGCCTGTAAATCTCCCAGACGCCACATAAATTAGCCCCTCTCACCTGGCAGATTTTGACGGGGGAGATACAGTAGTGCTTCAGAGATTAACCTTCGGAAAATAACACAGCTTCGTAAACACATAAAGTTGTCTTATCTTGTGTTTGCTCTTGTCGTCTGTACTCTCAGCTTCTTATTCTTTACAGATACTTTGATTATATCTTAGAAACATCGTTCATATTATTGGAGGGTGGAGGAGAGGCGGCTGTTTATTATTATTTTTTATGTATTGCTTTTTTTTTTTACTTTTAATACTTTATTCAGCTAACAACAAACGATTATATTCAGATCAAAGGGGCCCCCGTATATACTTCGAGGTATAACACAAACTGAAACCATACATCTCACCATGAACAAACCTTACCTCACCTGTTGTTCTTAATTACCTGTGTCTTTTAACCTACACGTTATACTCTTTAACTCCACTATTGTCGTTATTAAGTGTTCAGTAAGATATTGGTGTTAGTGTACAGCACCATCACCGCTCTGCTGCGCCTCAGTATATCACCATCACCTTTGTTTTCTCTGCTATGAAGAGTCATTTCCTTACCATCTTTTGGGGGTGCCAATGAATTTCATAAGTTCATCTGCCACGGTGGGTTAAGATGCTGTAATTGACTGACCTCCTGTACCACCAGGTAGGACAGTGATGGTGGTTACTGTAACATATAGTGATAACTGTAACACCATAAAATGGTTACTAACACCAGAATGTGGCTATTGGAACCGTTAATGTAACAGATATTGGTTAATGTGACTCAGATAATGGTTAATGCAATAGTGGTTATTGTAACACCAGGTAGGGCAGTAGTAATGGTTACTGAAGGTGTGACCCAAGACTCGTGGAGATATGAGACGTGTCACATTTACCAAACAATGTCACACCATCACTGCTGTTATTCTTTATTGTAACACTGGTTTAAGTCCCACATCATGTCCGTCCACTGTCCGGTTTTAAGTCACAGCTCACAGTCACCACTGGTTTAAAGTACTCCACACGTGAGTCAGTACACACACACACTCAAGTTGTTTTTACCATAGCGAGGCGTCAAGGTGGTAATGATGAAGGCTTCCTGTGTGGCCCCTTAACGTGTTCCATCAGGTCCTCTAACATCCTACACTCCTCCTCCTCCTCCCTAACAGCGTCACTCCTATAACGCTATAACAGCTGCTATAACTTATACCCTCAGCCCTGAAACACAAAAGGGGAGACTGGGAGGTAGGGGTAGATTGTGCCTTATCAACGCCTCTCGTCCCAACTTGTCAAATAAAATGGAGGGTTGTTGAGCTCGTCTTGTTTACTTGTTGTGTGGGTCGACGTAGTTGATAGAACGAGATTGTGATTGGTTAAGGAGAGGAGGGGGAGGGGGTAGGAGGATTAACACCAACCCGCCCACCCACTCACCCACCCACCCACCCACCCGCTCACCCACCCACCCACTCACCCACTCACCCACCCACCCACCTACCCACTCACCCACCCACCCGCTCACATCCTTACCCATCCTGGACGTCACACCCACAGGTTATGTTAAACAGCCCTTCTCCCACCCCTCCCCCCTTCCCTTTCCTCATCCCTTCCCTTCCTTTCCCCTTCCCGCTTCCTACTCCGTCAGCCACCAGGAAGGCGCTCAGTTAGAAGACCAAGCAGGAGATGAAAGCAGAACACACGGCAGCGACAGTCGAAAGAACAGGAAGCTGCCTCAGACAGCCGGAGAGGAGGAACTGGGTGCACTGTTGGGGGTGGAGAGAGGGGGAGGCTTCTTTAAAACCCAATTACTGAGAGACACAAGTGAGGATGGTGAGGAGATGAGATGGTGAGGAGATGAGGATGGTGAGGGGAGATGAGATGGTGAGGGGGATGAGATGGTAAAGAAAGTGAGGATGTCTAACCTTTTGAAACTTAAGTATTTTCCACACATTAACACTAAAGCTACACACTGATCTAACTAAATTGTCAGTAGGTGTGAATAAGACTCTCCTATCGGGGGTTACGTGGGTCAAGGACTGTGGGGTGTATTGGCTTGGTGTAGATTGAGGGACTTTGTGTAGGATTATAATTGGGTCCCAGAGAGGATAACTGTTTTAAGAGCTACAATATGTGGTAAGAAATATAACCAGTTGACTGTTAAGTATGACTTGAGTTAACTGGGTGACTGTGCTAAACGTGTGACTTGACTGTTTGTTATTGTTCTTAAGGAGGAATATGAAGAGAAGAAAGAAGGTGGTGGTGATGTCAAGGAGTCATGGTCAGTCAGTCACACACACACACACACACACACACACACACACACACACACACACACACACACACACACACACACACACACACACACACCTGCTACTTAACACGTGACTCTCAACACACTTTAGACAACTGGCAGGTCGTACGAGTGGGTTATTAACTCCCACCAGTAATCTGTACTCATGACTCCTCCTGGTGAGTCTGTCAGGCCTTGTTGATGGCTGGTGGTTGTTGGTGTTCCCAGGTGGTACTGTGATTCACCATGTGGTACTGTGATTCACCATGTGGTACTGTGATTCACCAGGTGGTACTGTGATTCACCAGGTGGTACTGTGATTCACCATGTGGTACTGTGATTCACCATGTGGTACTGTGATTCACCATGTGGTACTGTGATTCACCAGGTGGTACTGTGATTCACCATGTGGTACTGTGATTCACCATGTGGTACTGTGATTCACCATGTGGTACTGTGATTCACCATGTGGTACTGTGATTCACCATGTGGTACTGTGATTCACCATGTGGTACTGTGATTCACCATGTGGTACTGTGATTCACCAGGTGGTACTGTGATTCACCAGGTGGTACTGTGATTCACCAGGTGGTACTGTGATTCACCAGGTCGTACTGTGATTCACCAGGTCGTACTGTGATTCACCAGGTCGTACTGTGATTCACCATGTGGTACTGTGATTCACCAGGTCGTACTGTGATTCACTAGGCGTCCACACGAGAGGGAGAGGAGAGACAGTGCTTTTGCAGGGAGAGATGAAATGCGATATAAGTAGAGGGAGAGTAGTCTGAGAGAGAGAGGGAGAGAAAGGGAAAACATGAGAATGAAGGGAGAAGGAAATGGGAGTGTGTGTAATAGTCCCAGGGAGAGGAGGGAGAGGGAGATCAGCAAATCTCGGGCGTCATTCACAGTCACGACCAGAACAAGTAATCTCTCTCTCTCTCTCTCTCTCTCTCTCTCTCTCTCTCTCTGTTTACATATCTACGTTTTTTCTTTCCTGTTTGTTTGTCTGCCATTTTCGTTGGGTTGTTTGTCCGTCTGTTTGTATGTTTTTTTTTTCATTCATCCGTTTACGTTTTTCCGTCCATATGTGCATCTTTCTGTTTGTTAATTTTTTTTTACGTTATCCTGTCTCCTTCAACCCGTCCGTCCGTCCGTGACCTCTTGTACACAAGACACCTCAAGACTGGCTGGACGGATATCGATCATACTTACACACACACACACACACACACACACACACATACATCAGAGGTGGTGGTAACATTTGACGTGTTCGACCTCTCCTTCACTCCCTCGGTCGCCTTCAGGGTGTTAGGTCAGCTGCCTCCTCCTTTTCTTCCTCCTACTCCTCCATTATCTTCTTCCATCTTCCTCTATCTCCATCACCTCTTCCCCCATTTTCTTCCTCCTCCTCCTCCATCTTTTCCTCCATCCTCCACCACCGCCTCTTCCTCTTCCTCTTCCTCCACCCTTTTCTCGTCTTCCTCCTCCACCTCCAGCAGTGATCCCCGGTCTGGTAGCAATTGCTCTTAACAGGATGAAGCTCATCATCTGACCAAGTCGGGCAAGAAAAGGACTATTCCACACCAGCTGTTAAGGGCCATCCTCCCATCCTCACCCGCCTCAACACCGTACATAAGGCAGTTTGGGGTATTGATTTGAGTGTACCTGGTGGGCGTTTTTTTTTTTTTTTTCCTTTTTTTTTTCTCTTCTATCTCTTTATCTCTATCTTTATCTATTTATCTATCTATATATTTATCTATCATTCCTCTTCACGTAAGGTCATAGACGCACTAACTAGAGGGATACAGGTCATTTTAAGTACTGTATTAACTGTATCAACGCACTACTGATCTAATTATACCTTAATACACAACACACTACTGTACTGTATTTCTTGACAACATTAATAAAAATTACCTTTGTATTTATTATTTTGTATTGTTGTTTTTTGTATTATTATTGTTATCATTTTATTAATATTATTTTTATCGTTTTTATCATCACCGTAATTATTATTATTGTTGTTGTTGTTATTATTAGTATTATTAGTATTTTTTTTGTATATTTATTATTATTATAAAACTAATCATTGCTATTTTTTTCTCACATTAATCACGTCATCCTTTTTCCTCTCTCTGGGGGCCCTCACTTGGTGGTGTCGGGTTGCCAGTTGTAGTGTTTTTGTTGCGTAATGGGATATGCGTGTCATTGCTAATGTTTTTGGGAGTAACTGTGTGTGTAAGAGAAGCGAGCCGATCTGAATAAAGAGCGAGACATTTTTACGACCCGCAGTATTATTATTACTGTATATTTTTTTTACATACACTTGATAAATTAATTGTTTTTGTTTTTGTTTTTTTCGTGTTTTTGTTTTATATATATATATATATATATATATATATATATATATATATATATATATATATAGAGAGAGAGAGAGAGAGAGAGAGAGAGAGAGAGAGAGAGAGAGAGAGAGATGATTTGTATTTTTTAGTGAAATATATTTAATGTTTTGGATTTTTTAATAATTATTGTATATTATTTCTTAATTATGTGAGATGTTGTTGTGAAATATTTAAATTATTATTACCGTATTTGTAATTATTTGTTTTTGTTATCAATTTTAGTGAGAATATAAATTTAATATCACCTTTGATCTAATTAATTTTATCAAATATCAAAATTTAATATTGATAAAATTTGTATAAAATTAACTATAACCCGATATTGTTATTTAATTTAGTTTATTTTAATATGATAAATAGTGATTTTTCCTTTGAGTCATCATGGGGGAGAGAGTTAACACCAGCACTTGTCTGATCTCTCTCCTTATGGATATTAATTATTAAAAACAAAGATAAATAAATCCTACTGGTCTTTTAGGAATATTATAATTACCTCATTCACATCTTATAGAGAAGGCCAGGTGTATCATCGTTCTGTTGCTCCAGTGTTCGTGTAAGACTCGACCAACTCGTTCATATACCGCCAAGAGTTAACGTTGTCTATCCTGTGTTTAAAAGAAGGATGAGATGGATGTTGTTCTTGTAATGGGAAAGTTGGTGGTGTTGTGGTGTTACTCTGGTTTCTTAATGGAGTCTATGGTGCAATTGCGAGGGAGTCTATGGTGCAATTCCCATCACTTTAAAGAGAGTTAAGGGATGCCATTCGTGTGTCTCTATTGGCCACGGCAGCGTCTTTACACACACTCATCTGTCTTAGGAGTGTGGTGGTGTGTCGTGCCTCGCCTCACCAAGATAGATGTGACTTAATGTTCTCCTTTATACAGCCGGCAGAGTGGAGGAAAGCGTGTGTGTGTGTGTGTGTGTGTGTGTGTGTGTGTGTGTGTGTGTGTGTGTGTGTCCGTCCGTCCGTCCGTCCAAACACGTGTCATTCTGGGGTGGGTGGATTATGCCCCCCCCCCCCCACACACACACACATTGGCTAGTTCTTATTCTCTTCTGCAAACTCTCTCTCTCTCTCTCTCTCAAACGTTCATTCACAGGGACCCTTGACTCAATTGCAGTTGAATGACGCCACACCACATGGCCCTGTGTGTGTGTGTGTGTGTGTGTGTGTGTGTGTGTGTGTGTGTGTGTGTGTGTGTGTGTGTGTGAGATTATAAAAGAAAATTAGAATCTAAAAATAGACTAAAACGTCTTGAATCTTTTTTCTATATCTTTTAGTTGTCTTTTGTGACAGGTCTTTTTGGTGTGTCTTATGTAAGGGGTCTTTATGATTGGTCTTTCTTGGCTGGTCTTGGTGGCAGGAAATATCTTCATCCGTACAAAAACAGTGAAACCCCCTCACCTTTCCCCCCTCCCACCCCACCCCCACCCCACCTTCCCCCCACCTCCCCCCAAAGACCCAACAAAGGAACGGGGAAATACACTTTTTACAAGGCTTAACAATTTAAGAGGGGGAGGGAGGGTAGCCGGAACTGTGAAGGAGATGAGGGGGAGATGGAAAGGAGGAGGGAGGAAAGGAGATAAATAAGGAGAGAGTGGAAATGAAAGGAAAGGAGATGAAGGAGGAGAGAAGGAGAGACAAACAGACAGAGACAGAAAAAGAGGAGGTGGAAGGTGGAAAAAAAGGATGAACAAGACTAGAGGAAGAAAGAGAATTGAAGAACGAAAAATAAATGGTGATTAACAAACACACAGATGGAGTGCAGATGGATATAGGAGGAGGGTGTAACAGGGCCGGGTGTATCTTGGTAAAGGTTCAAGATGGTGTAGCAGGCCTGAAGGAGGAGGTGTTTTTAGCCTGGCGGAGGATGGGTTAACATTAGGGTGTTTAATTATCAGGTGGAATAAGCTATAGGGTGTCTAATCTTCAGGTCATCCTTTTTTATGTTAGGAAGTATTGATATTATGTTTATGATTTATTTGTGTTATTTGTTTGCACTTATATTATTGATCAATGTGGGAGAGTCTAATGTCTTGTTATTTTTTTATTTTGTCCAACAGCGAGTGACTGAGCAGCTCCGCCGACCGCATGCTGTGAGGTCCTGGTGAACCTGGGTGTGGACAGCACCGACACAACCGCGGCACAACACTACACACACAGACACACACACACACACACACACACACACACACACATACATACACACACACATACACACACACACATACACACGTACATAAACACGTAGCCCCGCAGCCACACACCGAACGCCACCATAACAGACGAAGACAAGGACCTCCAGCCTCACTCCATCATGGAAGGTGACGAGAAGAACAAGAACAAATCTGTAGGAGGTGGAGGAGGAGGGGGAGGAGGAGGAGGGGGTGAAGGAGGAGGAGGAGGGGGAGGCATGGAGATGACCCAGTATGGCCTCAACGGCACGTCGCCCCAGACGCCCAACGACGCGGGCCAAGTGGCCCTGGACGACGAGATGGCCCTCCGCGGCACCTGGAGCAACCACCTCGACTTTATCCTGTCCCTCGTCGGCAATGCTATCGGGATTGGCAACGTGTGGCGCTTCCCTTACCTCTGTTACAAGAACGGCGGAGGTGAGTACTAGAAAGAGATGTGTGTGTTTATTGTACTTGATGAGAGAGAGAGAAGAATTAGTGTGTGTGTGTGTTGGACTTGATAATGAGTGAAAGAGAGAGTTTTTGGACGTGATAAATAAATATAGATATGTCTCAATTAGCGATCCCTTCAGTATGCCATGTCACGCCTCACCTCAGGACAGTTTCACCTTGAGTTGGACCTTGAGGATGATGGAGGTACAGGGTGAACCTCGATCTGCCGTGAAAAATAAATAGCAATTGACCGTTTTTTCGTGTTCTGGGTAAATCGGGAACTGGGCGATGTCAGAGGGCTATGTATAGGAGCCTCTGTGTTTGTGTGTGTGTGTGTGTGTGTGTGTGTGTGTGTGTGCTGCAGGATGTGTATACAAAGAGACACGTGTGCAGGGAGAGAGTTGCACTGCTGTGAGGTGAGGTCATCAGGCTAGACACACTGCTTTATGTTAAATAGTACATCCGTATTAACTCTTCTCTTGTTGGTGAGAATAACAAGATGACTGCTGCCTCACCCACGGCCACTCTCACCCTCACACACGTGTGGTATACGGTGAATATGTATATATATATATATATATATATATATATATATATATATATATATATATATATATATATATATATATATATATACACACACATACACACACACACACACACACTTATTTACATATACACACAAAACTCATTCTCACTTACGCATGCAAACATATACAGACTACACACACACACACACACACACACACACACACACACACACACACACACACACACACACACACACACACACACACACACACACACACACACACACACACACACACACACACACACACACACACACACACACACCACCCACGACCTGGGGGTAAGGTTCTCCACGTGTTAGATCATCGCATCACATAGTATCACGCACCCTCAGACTTCAACCTTCTCACGTGTACAGAAAATTTACACCGTCTCAGAAATGTGAGAGAGAGAGAGAGAGAGAGAGCCAGGGGATGGGGGGGTGGCGGTCAGTAGTGGTGGTGGTGGACGGGTGGAGGAGGTGGTGGTGTGGGTCAGAGGGACGTAAGTGCCGGGAGAGCCAATTGGTGTCTGACACTGAGCTGACGACCTGACTGACGGTTCCTACCCTACTTCCCGCCGACCAGGTTCCTGCCCCTTGGCTTTTCCACCTCCGGACGGCTCTCTTTCCGGTTGCTTGGGCTGTTGTTGTAGGTGTTGGCCGGTCAATAGGTATAGGTAGTTGAGGCTTGGGTTTAGGATATTTGCCGGATGATAAAAGTTCTTACTGTGGACTCTTGTTGATGTTTACCGGATGATAGAGCTCTTGGTATGATATCCTGTTGATGTTTGCCGGATGATAGAGCTCTTGGTATGATATCCTGTTGATGTTTACCGGATGATAGAGCTCTTGGTATGATATCCTGTTGATGTTTGCCGGATGATAGAGCTCTTGGTATGATATCCTGTTGATGATAGCCGGATGATATCTTATTGATGTTGCCTTAACTATCTCTCAAGTTACCCCGAGACTGTACCCTAAAGTGATGGTGTTTATCTTGTTCACATTTAACGTAGATCTTGATGTCTCCTGGATGATGGCTGCACTCTCGCCTGGCCGCCTCCCCAGTCTTCAGGGGTCATTTGTTGGATGTCGTATTTGAATAACGAGTTACCAATACGGAGGCGGCTGAGGCTAACGGAAAATATTGACGCTAACGGAAATATTGAAGTTAACGGAAAATATTGAGGTTTACGGAAAATACTGAACTGACGGAAAATATTGAGGTTAACGGAAATTATTGAGGATAACGGAAAGTTTTAAGCTAACGGAAAATAATGAAGCTAACGGAAAATACTGAAGCTAACGGAAAATACTGAAGTTAACGAAAAATGTTTAGGCTAACGGAAAATATTTAGGCTAGCGGAAAATATTGAATCTAACGGAAAATACTGAAGTTAACGGAAAATACTGAAGCTAACGGAAAATACTGGTGCACTTTGTCTTCTGGCCGCTCTGATTTGTCAACGTTACCAACTGAAGAACATTGCACAGATAAAGGGATCACCTGAAGATTATACACCCTGGTTAAATTTCACTTGAAGATTGTAATACTCTAACGTTACTTAGAGGGGTTGAATTTGGTTAGGTTGGGTTGAGTTTGGTTAGGTTGGGTTGGGTTAGGTTAAATGGGATTTAAATTGACCATTTTTATCAAGTAATGTGGTTTTGACTTTAGGTTGTTGTGGTCTGTTGTGTACGTGGCTCTCGGCTGTACTGGTCTGTTGTGTACGTGGCTCTCGGCTGTACTGGTCTGTTGTGTACGTGGCTCTCGGCTGTACTGGTCTGTTGTGTACGTGGCTCTCGGCTGTACTGGTCTGCTGTGTACCTGGTTCTCGGCTGTAGTGTCTGTTGTGTACGTGGCTCTTGGCTGTACTGATCTACTGTGTACATGGTTCTCGGCTGTACTAGTCTGTTGTGTACGTGGCACTCGGCTGTACCATTACCGCGACATATACGAGATTACTGACATCCTGAGAGACTTAGGATGAGTCAGGAGGGGATATGAGGACTTAAACCTGGATATAACGTGAGAAGGTTAGGTTAGGTCTCTCTCTCTCTCTCTCTCTCTCTCTCTCTCTCTCTCTCTCTCTCTCTCTCTCTCATAAGCACCTGGTCGTAATACCCTAGTGGGCACGTGGCCAAATTGGGCGCGTGTGAAGGGCAGTCGGTGGCAGGTGCAGGAGGCCTACCAGAGCGAGGTACTCTATATTTTTAGACCCCATTCTGGCACACGCACACACACACACACACACACACACACACACTTGCTTATTTTACTGCACTCCTTGACGTCACTAATCCCCCAAGCCTACTTTAATCAACTTAAAAATAACAAAAACACAACAACAAATACACATATAATGGCAGTGTACAGTTATAGCCAATTTTTCCCTTAACACCGTACAATATCTGCTCATCATCTCCTTGTCGTTAATATATGTAATAGGTTCATAGTTGGTGAATGTTGATTTTCATTGTGAATTTCGTCGGAATCATTACATTAAAATGAATAATATTAATGAATAGAATCTGATACAATAAAATCCCATTCTACATTTGTCTCCGTGAACCCTGAAGTAAGTTGTAACATACGTTGCCTCAAAAGCATCTTGGGGATTTTTGTCCACAACTGCACATTCAATTTACCTTTATAATCGAGTCTATTTAGAATCTGAGACGCTGTAAGAGGTTCGACGATGGCTGAGCATAACATCAGAAGTGTATATGGTGTTAAACTCCCTCAGAAAGTATTTTATGAGACAGTGTTAATGGGTTTATACCAGCCTCGACAATAGCGGGTCATTGCTATTCATCGTCGCTGTGAAATTTCGCCCGTAATGATACACCCTTTAGTGAACTCACACACAAGACCACCTCTTAATTGTCCTGAGGGCGGGGTGGTAAGGGAGGAAGGGGGTGGGATAACGGCAGTGAGGAGGAAGGATGGGGAGGGTAGAGGAGTGAAGTATGTATGAGGGAAGGGGGAGGGGGGTAGGAGTGATGTGTCAAGGAAGGGAGAGGTGTCGAGAAGGAGAGAGGTAGCAGGAAGGGGTGACAGGATAGGGGGATTAAGGTGTAATGTGCTCGTGGCTGTATCACATGAAAGATTCTTACCTGAGATAGTGTGATCGATTTTGTGTGTCCGCCTCTAAGCATACATAATTTTCATCCAGTTTCGATCTTGAGGCTGAAAGAGACATTTATTTTTCTTGGTCATTCATGCTATCACAATTATGGACCGATTTTCATGATTTTATTTTATTTACTTATTTTTTGATGGGGGGCAAATTTATGGACACACCAACTAGACACGAAGGAATTGTGGTCAAGATGTGTCAAAGGTCAAGGTTTAAAGTCACCTGGAGTGTAATGACCCCTTTATCCTGAAGCATTAAGTTATAACTTATTGTGATATAGTTACAGGTCTAGTGTATCATAATATACAGTATGAAAGGATATGGTGTTGTACCAGTGCATAACAAGGTATAGTAGTGCAGCTAAAGAATTCCAGTGTACCGTGACATTTTACACAGCTACAGTGGTACAGCTAAATACAGGCCCAACGTATCATAACATTTTACACAGCTACAGTGGTACAGCTAAATACAGGCCCAGTGCACCATAACATAAGTTGGTGGTTATGCAGGTGATGGTGTAATGTAGTGCAGCTGTTCTGCTATTTACGGTTTGGGTTGTGTTGGTGGCAGTGACAAACGACTTGAGCCAGCGGGTATGATTTCCCTATCAGGGAGTCCATGATGTGTGTATTGGCTGCTGTGGGGGAGTGTGAGACTCGCTTTATGCACTCCCTACACTCTCCCACGACTCCCAGTTACTCCCATGGCTCCCAGTTACTTCCATGGCTCCCAGTTACTCCCATGGCTCCCAGTTACTCCCATGGTTTCTAGTTACCCTCCCATGGCTACCAGTTACTCCCATGGTTTCCAGTACTCTCCCATGGCTTACAGTTACTCCCATGGCTCCCAGTTACCCTCTCATGGCTTCCAGTTACTCTACTCTCCCTTTCCTCTACCACATCCCCCTTAATTCTTCCATGTAAATATATATTATGCAGGTAAATACGTGTGTTTCCGGTTAGGTTAATATGGTGCTTAATCCCACGGCTGCCACCATTTGCAGACACTTTAATTTGTAAACAACTCACTATTAATTTGTTTTCTCACTTGGGGCGTTAATATTTACTCGCTGTGTGGATGATATATATTTAATATTGCTTACTTTTTCACCTGATGTATGTTATGTTTATGTAATTAATTATAGAATAGTTTGATGAAGTCAAATTTTAAAAGTTTGTGCTCTCAAGAGAGTTCGTTAAATATAATATTGAATTATAAATGGTTAGTGTCAATATTAGCAAACTTTATTTAGGTTCGTCGTCTGCAAAATGTAAATCATAAGATATAGAAATTAATGCCAGATATTTATTTTTCGACTGTTGACATGGGCATCAAATACATACCCTCGTATCTCAGTGGTTCTCAGGGTAAAGAGGTCAATAAAACACAACCTTACTCACACCACGCATGAGTTGAAGCCTGACAGAACTAATGTGAAGACTTGGGTGATGATATTTTACTTGGTCATCATTTGCCAGTTCATGATAAGGTTGTGTCTGTAATCATCGTTATTGTCTCTCATCATTTATGCTGGAGAGGGGCAGGAAAAGGAGGGATTGGAACTGAATGATAGAGACACGACAAAGGGGGAGGGGTAGTACTGGAGATACATCACAAGAGAGAGGATTGAGTGATATGAGGGTTTGAACACGGTGAGAGATGGATCCTGTAGGAGAAAGGTCTTTGATGGTTTCGTCAACTTGAGGTCTTCCGGGTAGTGTTGTGACCTGAAAGGAAGGAGGAGGAGGAACAGGTAGTGGCAGGAGTAATAGTAGCACCAACAAGAGCAGCGCTGACAGCACCAATAGCAGCAGCAAGAGCAGAAGTAGGGGGACGGGATACGGCCATTAGCGAGGGGGTCTGACCCGGCCGGGGCTGTCACTCATCGCTGGGGTTGCAAGTGTATCGCTCCCGCAACTCTACCTCTATTATTATCAAATTTAAGGTTGTGTGGTCGACCTCAGACGCCGCGGCACGCACCACGGGCCACACACACTCAAGGTGAACTCGTCTGCATCCAGGTGTCAGCGCTTGAGCGAGAGGATTCAAGGGCGGGGTTAAAACACAGGCGAGTGGCGGGTGGCATTAACGTGTCGTGGCTGCGATATCCCGCGTCCGTCCACCACTGCTCTTCCTCTTTGGTGCTGTACTCTTGTGGTGCTGTACTCTTGTGGCGCTGTACTCTTGTGGTGCTGTACTCTTGTGGCACTGTACTCTTGTGGTGCTGTACTCTTGTGGTGCTGTACTCTTGTGGTGCTGTACTCTTGTGGTGTTGTACTCTTGTGGTGCTGTACTCTTGTGGTGCTGTACTCTTGTGGTGCTGTACTCTTGTGGCACTGTACTCTTGTGGCACTTTACTCTTGTGGTGCTGTACTCTTGTGGCACTGTACTCTTGTGGTGCTGTACTGTACTCTTGTGTGCTGTACTCTTGTGCTGGTGCTGCTCTTGTACTCTGTGGTGTGGTGCTGTACTCTTGTGGTGCTGTACTCTTGTGGTGCTGTACTCTTGTGGTGCTGTACTCTCTTGTGGTGCTGTACTCTTGTACTCTCTTGTGGCACTGTACTCTTGTGTGCTGTACTCTTGTGGTGCTGTACTCTTGTGGCACTGTACTCTTGTGGTGCTGTACTCTTGTGGTGCTGTACTCTTGTGGTGCTGTACTCTTGTGGTGCTGTACTCTTGTGGCACTGTACTCTTGTGGCACTGTACTCTTGTGGTGCTGTACTCTTGTGGCACTGTACTCTTGTGGCACTGTACTCTTGTGGTGCTGTACTCTTATGATGCTGTACTCTTGTACTGTACTCTAGTGGTAATAATAATAATAATAATAATAATAATAATTAACAGTTTATTGAAAAAATTCTGCAGCCCGAAGGCTGAAAATATAAATTGGACATAAATGACTTATTACATACATTGGTACTGTACTCTTGTGGTGCTGTAATATTGTAGTGTTGTACTCTTCTGATGCTGTACTTTTATGATGCTGTACTCTTGTGATGCTGTAGTTTCTGGCAGTGCTATACTGTGCTGTGCTATGCTGCTATATTATGGTCCTGGTAGTGAAGATGATCCGAGACTCCGCTGCAGTGCTATTTACCATAAACTTACACTCCCGTCAAGTTCTCCCAGACAGGTTCATTTCCCACGCGCCTCACGCTCCCTGAAAATATTTGGGGTCACATGATAAAAAAAAATATATATATATATACGTGGACTTATATTTTCTATATGTGTGTTTTATCAGGTTTGCACTCGTCTTTTTGGCAGGTTTGGAATATCATGTTTGTATTTTGGTTGTTGTTTTTGTTTTGAATGTTAGTGTGTGTTTGTTTGTTTTTTGGTGAAGAGGTTTTGAAAATTTGTCTTTTTTTGTTGATAAACATTTATATGAGAATGTAATACTGGTGATGACTGTGTGTTTAGTGATACTTTATGCACACACACACACACACACACACACACACACACACACACACACACACACACACACACACACACACACACACACACACTAAAAAATCCGTCTCAATATCTCTTCTTCTCGTCCTTCCTTCCTCCTCCTTTTGTTTTCCACTCCCTCCTTCTCTCTCCTTCCTCCCCTCCTCTCCCTCCTCCAGTAGTCGTCACAGCCCCGGCAGGAGGTCTGGGGTCAGTCTAGTGGTGGAGGGTTCATTGGTGAGCAAGGGCCGGGCTTAACTGATTTACCGTCAAGCCTGTTGCTCTTCCTCCTCCTCCTCCTTCCTACCTGTTGCTTCCACTCTTCGTCTTCTTCTTCTATTCTTATTGGAACGAGTGTGTGTGTGTGTGTGTGTGTGTGTGTGTGTGTCGCAGGATCAACTACCATCACACAGGTACAGCTACTGTGTGTAAAAATCTGTCTTTACCGACAACTTCAAGACTGAGGGCTGAGTCTTTGTTGACATGGGGGGTGGTGAAGGAGGAGGGGGAAGATGGAAAAGGAGAAGGATGGAGATGAAGAGGATGGAAGAAGAGAAGTGGTGGAAAGATAAAGGAGGAGTTGGTTGAGGATGGAGAGGAAAGAAGGCGAGAGGGATGGAGGAGAGAAAGAGAGAGATGTTTGGTTTAAGGAAGAGTATAAGAGATGAATAGATATAATGAAGAAGAGGAACAGAATAAAGGAGATAAAAAAGACAAACAAAACACAAACTAGAAATGTAGAGATTAAAGGCACGTTTCTCTCTCTCTTCTTACTTACGTCATTTGTCTGAAGATTATTATTATTATTATTATTATTATTATTATTATTATTATTATTATTATTATTATTATTATTATTATTATTATGATTGTTAAATTCACTTGTATTCCCTCGTTTATTCTCTCTCTCTCTCTCTCTCTCTCTCTCTCTCTCTCTCTCTTTCTCTTTCTCTTTCTCTTTCTCTCTCTCTCTCTCTTTCTCTCTCTCCCTCTCTCTCACTATCTCCCCCTGCCACCCTTCTCCGTGTACCTTTCCAGGGGCTACACCAAGACCTTCTTTCTAATTACAAAACATTGATCCCCAGCAGGCCAGCCTTTGCCCACCCCCGTTTTCTCTCGCCTGGGGTGGGGCGGGGTGGTGGGTCACAAGAGACACTTCTAATTGTCTCCAGAATACACTCAAAGGGTTCACATGGGCCCCCTGTCCTATAGACCCCAAGCTAACTGGAACTAAGCGTTAGAACTGCTGTCCTTTGTTAATACAGGTATACCCCAGTGCTGATGGGTCCCGATACCTAATGGTTGTGTTAAGTCGGTGTTATAACTGGGGTACCGGATAGTATAAGAAGCTATCCCCAATATGGTAATGTTTTATATATATTGCAATAGTCTTGGACAGATAAATGATTGTAATATAGAGTGAAGACAGAGATAACACTATATGGCGACACAGAATGATATTATAATAATAAAATACTGCCGAGAAAAGTTCACTCTGGTGACAGAAACAAACTAGAGTTGAGATCCTGACCTGGTGATCCCAAACACTTAACGCTGCCGATGTTGTCACCGTGAGGAAGGTCTCGGCTCTGCGTCTCACCTTCCGCGTCATTCATCAGAAGGGAAACAACTGGAACAATGGTGAGGGACACTTTCACTAATGGAAGGGTCCCCGCGCCCCTCACACCCCCCCCACCCCCACTCTCCCCTCATCCCTCCCACGACTGTCGACCAAAAAAAAAACGCGTCTTTAGCGAAGTTGTTTCTACACTTTAAACCGACACCTAAAGACCGACAGAAGACTAACTTGTACTCAGACACAACACAAGGACCGAATTCATTGACATTTAAGGGCGTCTCTCTCTCTCTCTCTCTCTCTCTCTCTCTCTCTCTCTCTCTCTCTCTCTCTCAATGTAAATGACCTGAGTGCTAGGGGAGAGGGTCGTTTCCAGGCAGTTTGATTGGGGGACCTCTCCATTGTAATGTTCCATAGTACAAGCCTTCCTTCCCTCCACCGATGGGCATGAACTGAAAAACAAAACAAAAACAATAATAAATTCTTCAAGTGATACAAACAATAACAATAAATAAATAATAATCACGCCAGAAAATATTAATAACATCATGAGCGGGAGGACGGACACGATCTACCCACATTATCACCGGCTGGAGGTATAATTAATATGGAAATGTTGTGTTGTAAGAAGAGTGGGTAATGGTGGTAGTAGTAGTGGTAGTGATGATGGTAGTAGTGATGGTAGTAGTAGTGGTAGTGATGATGGTAGTAGTAGTAGTGGTAGTGATGATGGTAGTAGTGATGGTAGTAGTAGTGGTAGTGATGATGGTAGTAGTGATGGTAGTAGTGGTAGTGATGATAGTAGTAGTGGTAATGAAGATAATAATGGTGGTAATAGGGGTGGTGGTGGTGGTGGTAATAGTGGTGGTGTTAGTAGGGTAAAAATACTATCTCGTCCCTCAGATAAAGTTTACAATACACTGCTGCAGCTGACAACCTCTGGCCAAGAAACTCCGGAAACACCCGGACTTATGGCGCCGCTCTAATGTGCTTATGATGACTGTGTGTGTGTGTGTGTGTGTGTGTGTGTGTGTGTGTGTGTGTGTGTGTGTGTGTGTTTTGAGTATATCCACAGTATGATTATTTGTCAATAATTACATATATTTACATTACGAAAATAACAATAATTTAGTAGAATAATTGACCTCACCTGTAGTATAATAATTGACAAAGTATAGTCATTAATCAACCTGTACCTGTCTCTCCTCCAGGTGCCTTCTTGATCCCCTACCTCCTGACGGTGTTTTGCTGCGGGGTGCCCACTTTCTTCCTGGAGGTGTCGCTGGGGCAGTTCTTGGGTACTGGCGGCCTTACGGTATGGCGTATCTCCCCTATCTTCAAAGGTAAGTCCTCCCCACTGGCCACTTCTTCCCTCGGCATGGCCACCTCTAGTTTGGGTGGCCATTAGGTAAATAAGGTCAATATAACTATACAATTATCTTTGGTTTATCAGTTTTGTCTCTTGTTTTATCTGTGATTTAATTGGTGGTTTAATTTGGTCGTTTTAGTCGTCAGTTAAATCGGTTTATTCTTATTTTATTTATTCACTTTGTTTTTCAGTAATTAATCTCTACGGGATTCGTTATTATTTTGCTAAGATATTTAATTATTAAGTATTGTATTCATTTATCTAACTAATATATCCGCGTACCTGTCCAACCAATGTATTTATGCACCCAGTTATTCATCTGTTTAGTTTGCCTTATAGAAGACGTAAACACTGTAGACAAATACGGTTATATTTAATTCATTGTGTACATCAAGAGGCTGACAAGTAGCTCCTCAGGATGTTTACAAACTTCACAAACAAACAGTAATTTTAAACTTGAGGGGAACATTGTGGTGGTGGTGGTGGTGGGAGGGACGAGGGAAGGACTAGGGACCGTGTTATTGTGCATAGATTACATTGGTGTTGATTTACATTGGTACCTTGTGAGCGTAAGGGTTGATCTGCTCATAAGGGGAGGGAGGGGGTAGGTGCAGAGGGGTAGAGTTACCTTGGGGTGTAAATTCACATATTCTCTTAAGGAAAATTGTAACTCAGAAACGTAACCTGTTAACTTTTTGGGGGGGGTCTCTCTCTCTCTCTCTCTCTCTCTCTCTCTCACTCAAAGGCGTGGGATTATCCTTGCGTGGACTTAGACTTATCTGGAAGGCGTGGGGATCAATACACGCCCTTACCTCATATATACACGCCCTCACCTCACATGTACACCTTCTTTTTTACCTCATGTGCTGTACACGTCCTTACCACCCATGTACACCTTCCTTTTCGAAGTGATGTCATGGCTTTGTTGAGTTTCCATGAAGTGATAATGAGGTGAGGTGGCTGTGTAGATCAGGTATTATTATTATTATTATTATTATTATTATTATTATTATTATTATTATTTCATATCACTATTGGCTAACACGCAGTAGTAATGAAATGAGGTGATTCTTCATTTATTTTCAGGGTATTGTCATGTCATATCACGTCACTATGAGCCAAGACATGATAGTAATGAGGTGTTGTCACATTGCAGGTGTTGGCTACGGCGCGGCGGTCATGTCAGTGTGGCTCAATATCTACTACATCATCGTGCTGTCCTGGGCTCTCTTCTATTTCTTCATGTCACTCACCTCTCGTAAGTGACCCCCCCCCCGACCCCACTACCACCCCGGCTCTTTTGTTTCCCCCTTTCTTCCTCCTCTGACAGTGTCTTTAGCAGGATTGTTCACTGTTCTTTCTCTTCTTCCTCCTCCTCCTACTACTTTTTCTTCTTCTTCTTCTTCTTCCCCTCCTACTACTACTACTACTACTACTACTACTACTTTTTCTTCTTCCTCCTCCGACTCTTCTTCCTCTTCCTCTTCCTCCGACTCCTCTATCTGATCCTCTACTTTCTCCATGTTTCCTATTTAGTTCGGTCTTCCTCCTCCCCCTCCTGCAACCGCCCCTGCTGGCCAAACTGCTGTAGCGGCAATAACTTCAACTTACTCTAGTACTTACTCTTGCTAAGCTTATGACTAAAGCTTAACTTGAATTTTATTAAGGAGTTTTTTGCTGTATCCGTAATGACTTGCTAAGCTTATCTTTTTAAAGTTTAACTTGCTTTTTTACCTATGTGTGTTATGCTGTATCTATAATTCTTACAAAGCTTATATTTTTAAAGCTTAACTTGACTTTTATCTAGGTATTTTCTGTTGTATCTGTAATTACTTGCTAAGCTTATTACCTTAAAACTGTTACCTGATTCACAATACTCTGCTGTAACTACAATTCCATGCTACGACTATGTTTACAAGTCTGACTGATAACATACTGTATATACCCCTAATTCTCGCATTTTTCGCATTGTTTGTATTTTCCACATTCTTACGTGCGTGTTTTTATGTATTTAGGTACTTAATGTATACAGTGTGTTGATGCATACATTAGTAATTTTCTTTTTCTTCTCGCTAAAGCATTCTGTACCGACTGTGTCTCTGCTACATGACAACTGGGAGGAAGTCGCCTTTTATACAGTACTCTAAGCCACCTTTACTAAACTCCCACACAACAAGAGTTCAAGTGGTTTGTGTGTGTGTGTGTGTGTGTGTGTGTGTGTGTGTGTGTGTGTGTGTGTGTGTGTGTGTGTGTGTGTGAAATATTTACTCTGGGAGGTTTGAGAGTGTGTGAATTTGCTGTAGCGCGTAGGGTGAACAAAATATTACCGTCTAAGTTTATGAAGAGTGATTCTTGTCAAAACTAATGACTAACACACACACACACACCGTCGTGGCCACAGCTCCTCCTCTAGCACGTCTGTCCTGAGAATGTTTAAGCTTGTACACTGATGTTACTCCTGCTGTTGAGGGTACATGTTATAGCGGTGCTTCTCATTAATGACCCTCCTCTCTCTCCTCTCTCTCATCTACCTGTGGATTTCGATTGGAATGACGTCGCCCTCTCACTCTTTCTCTCCCCCTCTCTCTCTCCCTCAGTCAGAACAGGCAGTGAGTATTATTCCTACCGTGTATTATATTAACCATTGATTATGTTTTTTACAATTCAAAGTTATTATTTATTTTCTTTCTATAGAATACTTTAATATAACATAATGCAAGTGTGAATTTGTGATTGTAGGTTGGATTTGTAACTCTCAGTATAGGAAATATTTTTAATCATGAGTTAATATTTTTCTTGCCAGTTATTGTAGAAACATAAGTACTGTTTATACATCAATGTGTCTTGTTACTGGCTCATGTACCCCCTGAAGGTCACTCTCTCCACCTTCTACTTACTCTTATCCCTACCTTAGTGTGTCTCACCTTCCCCACCCTGTGTCTCACCCACCCCTTTGTTTATTCCCCATCTCACCACCTTCCCCTATTCTCCCTCTCACCACGTTTCCCTGTTTCTCTTCTCACCTCCTCCTTTACTCCTCTCCACCACACTCCACTTACAACCTCCCTCCCCTCCACCACACTCCACCTACACCCTCCCTCCCCTCCACCACACTCCACCTACACCCTCCCTCCCCTCCACCACACTTCACCCACCTACACCCTCCCTCCCCTCCACCACCACACCCTCCTCCCTCCACCACTTCACCTACACCTCCCTCCCCTCCACCACACTTCACCTACACCCTCCCTCCCCTCCACCACACTCCACCTACACCCTCCCTCCCCTCCACCACACTTCACCTACACCCTCCATACACAACTAACGTCTTTACACCCCCCGTCTCCCCTAGAGCTGCCGTGGGGGTCGTGCGACAACTGGTGGAACACTGATACTTGCGTGTCGCCGTACGCCCGTAGCAACCTCGAGTGTTGGGGCGAGACCTTCAACAGCACGGCCAATGAGACGTACTGCAGGGTGGGCAACCTCACTCGGGTACACGTGGTTAACCTCACCGACCCCGTCAAAGAGTTCTGGGAGTGAGTGTCTGTCTGCCCTTGTCATTTTGTGTATGAATATATAGTGTATATGTGTATTGTTTTTTTTTTTAAAGATCAAGTCCTTCTGTACATGGCTGACTGCTTCCTCCCTCTTGTTGCCTGGGGAGTCTTGGATAGTCTGTTATGATGGCTGCTCCTCGCCTTTCTCAGCCAAGGTATGAAGTCCTCTCCCCTCTAGTGTCATAACCCAGCCCATGTTTTAATAAGTCAACTCGTGTCATAATATTTCAACACATATCATGACACAGTTGCTTATGTGGACGATCAGTAGTGTAAGTGTACCCTTGAGGGAGCTGTGGTGCAAGTGTGCGTTTAAGGGGGCACTGGTGTAATCGCGTGTTTTGGTCAACAGAAAACGGGCGCTGCAGATTTCGGACGGCATTGATCATCCTGGCACCGTACGCTGGGAGTTGGCCCTGACTCTCCTCGTCGCTTGGATCCTCTGCTACTTCTGTATCTGGAAGGGGGTCAAATGGACTGGCAAGGTGGGTTGTTTTGACCTTATATTTCCTCTAACGAAGATGTCACTGCATCAGGCCAACACCTTGATGTAGAGTTGATAAAAACATTGGTTGAGACCTGTAGTTGGTTTTTTTTTTACTACGAAACGTAACTGTTTTGTGCTTTAAGAATGTTATTTCTTGAATGACAGCCAATGTGAGCCTTTTCGGTGCTAGGACAGTGTGGTTTGAGACACGACTGATGTCTCTGATTCAATGAATGATGACACCTTAAGTGAAAGGAATTTGTAGAAACCATCGGCTCAGTGGCCACTCCTGATGGTACTCGGGAAGGCGTGTGGGCGACTGGGCGAGTTTATCCAGATGTGGTCACTTTATCTCACAGGTATTGATTACATCCTCGCCACATTATGATCAGTGTCACACCATCACTGACAATACCTTTTTTCTGTAAATTACACACTTTCAACATTACAGAAACAGACATTTGGAAATTTTACTGACTAGGTAAACACCATTAGTTGGACGTGTAAATAAAGTGACATTTTATACCTATTTACATGAACGTGACTTTACTCCAAATTTGCACCATTGTAGACTTCAAGTTTAGCTGATACATAAACATATTACAAAATACAGGAAAACACAGTCACCTACAGTCAGGACCTGGTGTTAATGGCAGTCATTTTGAACATACACTATATTATAAATTCTACGTTATATATACTGCGTAGTAATTAAAAAATAATGAAAATTACATCATTCAGTTCCCAATATTAACTTTGTGATCATGTTGTAGTTATTTTTTTGTAATTTCATGAGATAATTCTGTCCTCCATGCCTTTGTTTATGTCGTTGAGTGTTTGAAAGATTGCCCCGTTTGTATGTACAGGTATGTGTGTGTTTGTATGACTTAAGCTGGTCTTTCATTCTTACATCAATGAATTAAGCTGTGTTTCATTCTTTCATCTCTGATTTAAGCTGGTGTTTAATCCATCCATCATTGACTTAAGCTGTTTAATCCTTCCATCAATGACTTAAGGTGATGTTTAATCCTTCCATCAATGACTTAAGGTGATGTTTAATCCTTCCATCAATGACTTAAGCTGATGTTAATCCTTCCATCAATGACTTAAGCTGATGTTTAATCCTTCCATCAATTACTTAAGCTGATGTTTAATCCTTCCATCAATGACTTAAGCTGATGTTTTAATCCTCCATCAAAGACTTAAAATAATGTGTATGAAAGAGAATTGAAGAGGAAATGAAAATGGAGAGATGAGGGGGATTAAGAGAAAAAGAAATAGGAAATGGAGAGAGAGAGATTGAGATTTTGTGGTACAGTACAATATTTTGTAATAATGATCTTCTGTGTACCATCCAACAGTCAGGTGTACTAATTGTTCTACCATCTCCTCTATAGTGTACTAACTGTATTTACTAACTCCCCCATATCATGTACACCTTCCCACCACATGGATTGTATACAGTACTCATCATGTACTAACACACGCACAATAACCTCCTGTTCCTCCTCCTCCCGTAGGTGGTGTACTTCACGGCACTCTTCCCCTACGTTCTCATGTTCATCTTGTTCATCCGTGGTGTGACGCTGCCAGGGGCCATGACGGGGATCCGCTACTACCTTATACCTGACGTGGAGAAGCTCAAGGATGTCACGGTCAGTTGTTGCTCCTTGTTGACGTCTCACTCTCAGCGTTGACTTACTCCTTTGTCATCTTATTACACCATTAGCCAGTTTTATTGGTAACTAAACCAAATTTATATACCTGTTTTATTTTTCACTTGCTAAATATTTTTTGTTCAGAAGCTCAAACTTTTATGGTAAAGAAAATTGTTAGTGTATTAGGGTATGTGTGTCTGTAAAATGTAAATTGGAATAACAGTAATTTGGGACAGAAATTAATGCAACATTTAAAATGCAACTGAAATTAACAGCGAACGTATACAACTATGGGGTACACGTATATTATTCCAAACTAGGATATGAGGTACAGTATATCGAAACATAAAGGCATAATGTATGAATGGTATATTCAGTATACATATTATCACAGCTCTTCTCTTGTTGATGTGGGATGTTACAAAGAGTCACCTTTTGATGGTAATTGTCCCGTAGTTGACCATCTGCAACGGATGAGAATGTCAATGTGTCATTTTACATCTGTGAAGTATAACGTATAATAAATATAGCAGTTCAACCCATGATTGTATCAAATGTATTTCTGCTTACATTTTGTATTGTACACTTTACTTTTTTTTTAAGAATGCACTTGAGGATGATTCTTATTTTGTCCGGTTAATGAACGAGAATGAGTCTCCGAACTGACTTAACCTGAGTGTTTCAGTTAGTGATTTCAACTGGACTCGCCTATCCTGTCTTTCGAGTGAAATATTTATTTGCCTTACCCAACAGGTGTGGGTGGAGGCGGTGTCACAGGTGTTCTGGTCCTATGCACTTGTCCTGGGGTCTCTCATTGCTCTGGGATCCTATAACAAGTTTGATAACAACTGTTACCGGTGAGTTGTCTGCTTAGTGTTAGTTAAAAGAGAGACGCTGTTGTTTACGCAGTATACTCCTTGACAATTTTCTTTGTTAATTAATGGTAAGGTTAATGGAATTGTTGTGATAAGATATACAGTAATCAAGTTGAATTTTGTCACTTCTATTTTCATCACTGGTCTCTCCTCCTGTTCCAGCAGTCTATCAGTATTTACCCCTGAACCCCATCTTTAACACCTTTTCTTGCAAACATCCAACCACAATTATCAAATGCAACAATTAATTTATTTTACCTCAGTACTGTAGAAAGATAGATACAGTGCAATGCAAATTCAGCCACACTGTCAACATGTACTAACTCAGGATCTCCTTTCAGCGACTCCCTCATTTTGTGTACCGTTAATTCGTGCACATCATTTTTCGCTGGGTTCGTCATCTTCTCTGTTGTAGGCTTCATGGCAGAGCAACAGCAGAAAGAGGTAGCAGATGTGGCAGCCTCAGGTCAGTATTCATCTCTACAATTTCGTGCACACCTCAGCATACACTTGATTCCTTAACATTGGATTCCTGATATTCTTCACAAATAAAATTCTTATAAAATGGTTTGATTGTGCACATAACCTCACTGTGTTTGTGAATTAATGTCAATGCACGAAGCCATTACTGTATCTCTTATGTAAATTTAAAAACAGACGAGAAAGATGTTGCTGGAAATAGGTACCTGAAATGTTAACAGTCTTCATGATGGGTTATTAGTGTTAATGAAGAAACATACTGTACTCATTGAATGATATACAGTACAGAGCCAATGTAAAGGGATTTGGGTGTTAAGGGTCATCTCGTGGGTGTGTTAATTGCGACGCTCATTGTCAAGTACAGTACATTAATGATTACTTGAGTGTGTCCTGCTACTTGTCTTCATGTTAACAGTAGTCAAGTGAGAGTGCTAACATTGATAAAGTAATTGAAATGAAAGTTGTTAGTTATTTAGAAAGTATAACAAAATGGGTATCAACAGGACCTGGCCTGGCATTCTTGGCATACCCATCGGCAGTGCTGCAACTACCTGTGTCTCCCCTCTGGTCTTCCCTCTTCTTCCTCATGTTCCTCATGCTGGGACTCGACTCTCAGGTAAGAATCACTCAAGTTTTCCAGAACATCCTTATGAACATTATCTTTCAGGTTTAATATCAAACATGAAATTCAAGTTTACTGTACCCCTCTTAATACAGTACTTGATGGTGCATTAAGAGTATTATTATGTACAGTACTTCAAATTCAGATTAAATTATTATGGGAATTGTAGTAAACCTTGCATATTGTTTAGGCTTCCGAATGAACAAAGGTTTCTTACTTCAGAAGAAACATATACTGTAGTATAAAATTATGCATAAAACTTAACTCCTGTAAACTAGTTAAGTAAACTGTGAGTAAAAGTTGGTTTGTTAGACTGTCTCAATTACCATATACCTGTAATAAATTTTCAAATTTGGGAATATTAGTGTACTGTACTGTAATTGACAGCCAGGTCCTGTGTCACCAGCCTGAAGAGTAATTATTTTAGTCATTAATTTATGATACAGTATTCAATTTTTTATTAGGACTATTTAATACATTTACAGTCATGATGAAAACATGTAAGTTACAGTAATATGATTGTCCCTAGTTCTGCACCATCGAAGGCTTCGTCACAGCTGTGTCTGATGAGTGGCCTAAGTACCTCCGCAAAAATAAGGAGCTCTTCATTGCCGCCATCTGCGTTATCTCTTACTTTGTAGGCTTGTCCTGTGTTACAGAGGTGAGTCTGTGACCATATACTTTAGGTTAAGGTGGAAGAAAACGAAGAAAAATGAAGCTTAATAGGTTTCCTCAACTCTGGTGCAGACTTAAGTCATAATAGTGGTTGAGCAATTTAATATCCTTGTTTCTGCATGTTTACCCATCCACTTGTTCATGGCATGTATATTTTGGTGTAAGTTCAGTAGTGAATACTTTGCAACTAGACTCAACAAGCACTCTGTGTCCTAGGTTTTTAATACATTCAACTTATTTTCAGCTTGCAGTATGAAATGCAATGGAGCTTATGAAATATTCCTGACTTTGTACAGACTGTAGTATAATTTTCAGATTAGTGCACAAGTCCTCTTTAGGAGTCATGATTTTTTATGCCAATACAGTATTTTAAGTTTCCACAAGCTTACATCATGATGATGTTTGTGGGCTTACTGATGCCTTCCCCAGTTGCTCAGAGGCCTTAGTTACATTTTTGTCACTAATATGTCCACATTTCTGGCATCACCACATACACCACATGAAATGGTGAATATACTCCCTAATTTTGTTTTATATAATGTTGTATAAAACATTTGATTTGGAAGGATTTCGTAATGTGTTTATTGCTTTTCCATTGCCATGCACATTTGGTATGCTCCTTCATCACACTCACACCATACAACTGGCAATATGTGGATTTTACTCATTAAGACAACACTTGTTTCTTCAGTAATTTTCTGGAAGTCTTTTGATGTTCCTACAAGAGTCTTCAGCACAAACCCAGCTGATCATACGGCCATTTTCCACACTTACGTGAGTTAGCCATGGCTACCTGATGGCAGCTCTCTATGCTGCATACTTTCTTGCAGCTTCTCTTCAGGTAGTACTTCACTCTAATGCCAATGCATTACCCCATCAAAGAATGGAAATTTCCTAAAGAGGAACACAAAATACCGGTATATGTAGATACATTATTTTATCAGTTTAAATACTTGAAATCTGCATTATTCATATGAGAACTGATCCCACTGGAAAAAAATCCATTGCTTAGTGACCTTGTGATATGGATTTTACTTTCAAAATTAATTCTTAATGTGTGCTTTTCTTGTTTTGTTAAATGAAATGAATAGTAAGCATATACAGTATGAAGGAAATTTTCTAAATGTGTTCAATAATTCTTTATTTATTTTTATTCTATTTCTTCCTTCCAGGGTGGTATGTACGTGTTCCAGGTGCTGGATTCATATGCAGCCTCTGGAATGTGTCTCATCTTCCTTATCATGTTCGAGTGTATAGCTATAGGCTGGGGCTATGGAGCTAACAAGTGGTATGACAATGTTAAGGAAATGATTGGCTATTACCCCTTCTTTTGGTGGAAGTTCTGCTGGAAGTTCATCACTCCTGCCATTTGCTTCGTGAGTTACTCTCTTTTACCTCATGGTTGGGAGGTTCGGGGTCATATAGTATAGTACAGTACTTATAACCAGAACATTTTACATATTACTTTTACTTTTATCCTCTTCGCCACTGATCGGCTCGTTAGCCGCTTGGGCGACCGGTCACGTCTCTTATTACTTTTCCTTTTCATTTATCCTCTTCACCAAAAGATCGGCTCGCTAGCCGCCCGGGTGATCGGTTACATCTCTGTCATGCACTGTTGGCAAATACTGGGCATGCACCGGCTCCTGAATGTACCTGAACCCGCTCCAGTATTGGTCAAATCTTGTCTTGAAAGAGCTCGCACTCGGTGCCGTCACAACACTCTCTGGTAGATTGTTCCAAGAGTTCCAAACTTACTTATGCACTTAAAGACCTTAGTTGTTGAAATTTAGTAACTAGGAAAGTATGGAATTTGCAGAAAAGGACGTTTGAAAGAATTATTGAGGAAAAAAGGTGGTTTCATTAGATGATGGATGGACTAATGAGGTAGTATAAGAACACTAAATAGTACAGATATGGGAAAGTTAAAAAGATCAAATGAATGAGGCATGAATGAGTTGTTGATTTTGAGAGGTGCATGAAAAAAGAAAAAAAGGTGGGCAGGCCGAGTGATGGAATAAAGATTATGTCAGTAAGTAGTGGTTTGGAATGCAGAGAATTAAACCATGACTGTGGGGTGTGGGATGACTGTTGTGACCACCCCGCTATATGATGTTCCAGTTCAATGAAAAACTCATAAAAGGTTATTAACTGGGAATTTGGGAAGTGTGTGTAATAATTAATTCTTTACAGTTCAGTAAATTATAGAAAAGTTTTAAAATGGAAGATAATTTTTCCAGATCAATTTATGTAGAGTACAGGACATATGTGATTTAGATAAATGATAAATTAGGTCAAACTGACATATTTTTTATTCTTATTTTCTATTTATCATTTTACCACTTATCAACTTACTAGGCATTAACGGTTGGTCTGTTTTTTGTCACAGTACTTTGTTATAGGAAAGCTGTTTCTTTTTAACATTGGAATAAGAGCTGTGAGTCATTGGAATAACCTGCCAAAAATGTTGTGGTGGCAAAGTGTGAGCTGATTTAAGACAAGACTTTACCAACGCTAACGCAGGTTCAGAAACTTTCTTCAGCTAGTGCATGCCCAGTACTTGCCAACATAACGTAACAGACATGTCCAACCTGATCAGTGGCAAAGAGGAAAAGTATAAAAAGACTGTTGAATGTTGTCTAGAGTTTATTTGGAAGAAAAAAATGTATCATCTGAGAGAGAATAGTATTGTACCAAGTGGTTGATTTAGTGTAAATGTGGATGTATTTCTGAGTAGTATCGGGGTACTAAGACAATGTATACTGTATATGGACGAAGCAGTAGATGTTATGTGAAAGATGTAGGTGAATATAGTATGTCAGGTTAAATCTTGATGACATATGGAAGAGAGACGATGTTTGTGTTGGACATTGATTTTTTTTTAAATACCCCGGTAACTCAGATAATAAACTTCAATATATGTTATATTGTACAGGAAGATTTTGAGTGACTTCAAACAATGACAAAACTCCCATGTACTGTATGAGAAAAAGGGGAAATATCTCAGTAATGTTAGCTTGTTTGTGAAAGATTTAGGAGTTAAAAATTAATTCAAATGTTTAATATTCTCATCAGTGGTATTGAGTGAAGGACGTTTTTTTAGTCACTCTGATGTAACACAAGATAAGACATTCATAGTGTGTACAAATAAATTAATACTCTTACTGTATATTGATTGTTGGTTTTATTATGTCTTAACACAAATTAGCATAGAAATTTGTCAAAATTCCTCTGGAGTTTAAGTTTTGTCATTACCTGTAATGGTGTCTTCTTCCCTGCAGTGTGTGTTCATGTTCAATGTGGTGATGTGGTCTCCCCCGAAGTATGTGGACTATGAATTCCCAGTTTGGACCCATTTCGTCGGCTGGCTAATGGCGTTGTCCTCAATGACCTGTATTCCAGGATATGCAATCTACAAATTCGTCACCACACCTCACCCTGGAACCTGGAAAGAGGTGAGGACTGATATTGTACTACATGCCTATTGACATACAGTATATGGTATCTGTCAATATATTACTATCATTATACCATGTCCACTTTCTTCCATATGTGGCAAGGCGCTGTGCCATCACTTAACTGTGCCTTGTCTGTCTTGCAGAGATTAATATCTATCACGCGACCAGAGATTGACTTAAATGCTTTGAAGAACAAGTACAGAAGTACCCCAGAGGAGGCCACTGCAGTGTAGATGTTCACTCGTGTCTACCATACATCCACACCAACATCCACTCTTTCACTATGGTATGGTATTACCTGGCAGGGACAGCCCGAGGTAGAGAGAAGACACCAGACTGGTGCTATATAACCTGATGGGAATAAACAGCAGACACAGAGCCTGGCCAGCCTCTTGACTATGCCCACTTAGGCAGGGCACCATCACAGAAGATGGTTACAGCTGCATAGCAATGTGTACTTTACTGAAGGCTAATTCATAGATTTATTTCATGTGCACTTGATTATTTTAGTATCTTGTACGTATTTATAAATTTGAATTCTACATTGTTTTCTTATATTTGATTAGTTTGTGATTAAAACCAGCAGCAAAATAAACTCAGTAAAGCTGAACAAATGTAACAAATGTCACGTTAATATATTTAGAGACATGACTAGGGATGGAGCTAGTCAAAAATTTGCTTATGTCATGAACATTGTGGGTATTTATCCCTCTCTTGGCTCTCAATACACTTTTCCAGAATGCGCTATGACTGCTCTGTTAACGCAGCTGATCACTTTATCACACATCATATGATTTTTTATAGCTCACTTGATGATGCTATTTAACCTACTCTGTGGCATTATTATAGCTCAGTTTGTGATGTTTTAATATGGCCTGGGCTTTATTTGTGGCTTAGCTGAGATGGCTGTCTGACACTTCAGTTATATGTATGTCAGGACTGCTTTTTATTGATATGGAGACATACAGCACCACACCTGGAAATCACTAAGAAGGTTAATGATTATAGGTAAAAAAAATCATATCTTGAGTACCATGAGATATCCAGAAGAATTTATAAACGATTGAAAGATATGAGGCTAGAGATTATTTCATGATGTGAATGTTAAAATGAGTTGAAAAACTTATTAGAAGTCATTTACAGAAATTTTAACTACATATTTTCACTCTTTTAAAGGATTTAGATGTAGCAATTCATTTTTTCAGTGCTTGTGAAAAAACTTGCTAAAATCCTGACATACATTGAATTCAAATAGTCTTAGTCTTAGCTTTTGTTGATGGGTTTAGAGGACATCACAAGATTTTCAACTGACACTTAGGCCAGTAATGTGCAGTATTGATGTTTGTAAGATGTTTTTAACCTAAAAGCAATATGTTTCTCTCGTGACAACTGTATATTGATGTTGACAATTATCAGACTAACTGTAGCTGCACTCGAGAAGTTCCTCAGCAGTCCTAGTGACTGACTAATGTTGATGAAAGATGAGACATTTATATTTCAAGAGTATAACTATTTGTCTTGCTCACCAGAGGTCAGTGATGGAGAGCCTAAAGCCTGAGTTTACAATGGAAGAATTCAATAGCATGTTACAAAGTTTGACAGCGATCAACCATCAGTAGTGAGTGATAATGTGGACTGCCGAGGCACTCTTCAAATGCAACTCCAGTAAGATTAATTTGTGAAGGGCTTCCAAATTGTCTTCCATATTTTAGAACACTTCTTTAACATATCAAAAAGGTAGGTAATATTAGTAGAAGTACGAGTGAAGATTCTTTAATCTTGTCATTGTAGTAAAATCCTATAGGGTAGATTTTAGCTTGTTTTGGGACCAAGGTATTTAATGCCGACTGGGTCTTCCAAATGTTAAAAATTGTAAGTGACTTGATACTTGATTATGGACCTTGAATGTCCCTACAGTAAGGTATTTTAGTATATTATCACAAGGGAAATTGTGACCTTATTTGAGTAGTAACTATGAATCATCATATAGCATTGTCTTCCATGTTGTTGGTCCTGTCTTCACATAGAACACAGTAGAATGTATGCGAGCAATAACATAACATGTTTTTGCAGTTTATCCCCTTTATCTACCTACACATTTACTTCAAACTCCCCAATTCAGGACCTGGTAAGAACCTTAGACAAACTACTCCTTTATTTCTTTCTTTGTTAAAATTGTAGGTATTTTCATCTTTAGGTCATACTAGGCCATAATTGGGAAGTTTTTATCCTCTTGGTGAACAGCTCTTTAAGGTTTTAGCCAATGAGAAGTCGTCATTTATGAATCTGGATCACAACTGCCAATAAGGTGATGGTTCTCTCGGAGCCTTGCGTGCCCCACCATTCAACCATCCCTCCAGCCAATCAGCGCACGAGTAGGAGTGAGACACGCCTTGCTCTGGCCCCGCCCTTTTTTCTCAATGTCCTTTTCTGATTGGCTGAAACTGAGCAATTTTGTAAATTACATATGACAACCAAATTTAAAATAAGTAATGAATGTATGTATTGCCAGTAAGTTGAATTGTGTACATGTTATATATGTTAAGATAATGTTTTGCACCGACTCGTTAAAAATACTGAGTATCTATTATATTATAAGAATTTAGTGCTTAAGAATATGTTTTTCTTCATTGTGAGTGTGTGAACTTCGTTGTAAAACTTTGATGTTAGGCGATGCATGTACAGAAATATATGTAAATTCTTGTCATATAGAGATTTAATTGTTTAAATGTTGTGATTTACATATCTCTTCAACACAGGTAACATCATTGTGAGTACAAAGTTCAGTGTTCCATAAAAAAACAACTTTTGAATATTTGTACAGGTAGGAACCCTGTGTAGGAGATATAAGAAGAACCATCAGACCTAAAGTATATAGTTGGGCCTCACACATGTAAACATCTTTTCAGGATATAGTGAGCAACTGATTGCTTTGTTATTTTAGGTTCTTTGTGGGTGGTTATTTTTTATGATCATTAAGCTGTCATAAAATGAATACCTATTTATAAAAGAAACTTTTAAAAATACTCAGTCAGTATGTCCACCGTTATGGGTTTGGGGTTGCTTCTATCCTCTTTATAGATGAATCAAGCTGGTGTAACACAAGGGGAAGTTACATTTATTAAACAGGCATCATAATGTGGCTTCAGAAGACATTTTAACACAAACATGTGAATTGCACAGAAACACTTACAAGCACATTAATATTCTTACATTCAAAATCACCCCACATACATATGAACATTATATATACAGTATATATATACAGTATATATATGATTGTGTTCTACCATTCAGACATCTTATAGCTTTGGCATCTATATGAACAGTGATTTGTACACTTTAGGAATTATCTTGTTCATTCCTTTACTTTCTGTGGCTTTACCATATCTGATTAAGTACATGAAAATGTAATACTTAATCTTTGAAATAAAAATATAAAAAAGCATCAGTGATTGGTTTTTTACTCAAAAACCAACTCAAGATGAAGAAAATAATCTAGCCCTAGATTATGGTGTTGATAAACAGAGAGAATGTTTTGAATACAACTTGTTAGGAGACATTGACAAACTACACCCATTGTTTTTCTTTCAGACAACTCAAGAAGCAAGGTCAACTTCTAGAACAAACATATCATAATAGCTTAGATGCTTCAGGCAAGTCTGGCAGCCATATAGCAAGAAAGGAACTCCAGCATTTGTATAGTTTTGTTTTAATTCTTCTTTGGGTGGTTAATCCATCTGAGTTACATGTGTATGATATGTATTTGTCTGAACAAGTACATTTCATATATAAACAGAGAAATATAAATTATGCAAGACTTGTGAATTTGATACAACTGGCTCACATGGTCGAAAACAACGTAGCACAAGATTTGGCATAGTAAGAAACTTATAGGTTTCAGAACTTTTAAAGGTTAATTTTCAAGATTCCAGATTCAAATGCAATGTCTCAAGGTTTGTTTCTGCATTCAGAAAAGTGTACCTTGAAAAAAGAATAAATGATTAGAGAGGAAAATAGTCCTACCCACCACTCACTGCACTCCCCTTGCAAGCTCTATATATTCACCCTTTATTCATATTCCCTACTCACCACTCAGGTTCACTCAGCACATCCTATTCTGCACATTCGCCACCACTCATTACATAACCCAACAACTGTTGTCCTTGCACTGATCATCCAGACGACACCGCCAACAGACTACTGACTACATGTAAACACAGCATCTTGTGGTGGTCAAGAAGTCGGCAGCATCTAAGAAAACTGTATCAACAACAAATATGCCAAGCACTTGCTCAGTTTTTGGGTGTTTAACACAAATTAAAAATAGAAGTGATGTAAATTTCCATCGCTTTTCGAAGGATGATGAACTGAGACGAAGATGGATTCACTTGTGCAGGAGGAAATACTGTACAGTACTTATAAATGCTGAAAATGCCCTAAAATGCAGCTTGCATTTTGAGGCCAGAGTTTGAAAACTTAAAAAATATAAACTGCTTGGACTATCAGCGCTAAGAAGACTTGTAATGATTAAGAATGGAACAATACCAACATTACAAGTGCCATGTTTAAAAGATAAGCCTATATTATTTCAAGTAAAGGTGGAGGAGATAGTCAGCACCAGAAATAACATATGGATTTGAACCAAAATTTCTGGAGATACTATGTCTTGGGCATTTTTTTTTTTTTTTTGCTGGGATTAGCCCACCCGGGCACAGGTAACTGACCCACATCGGGGCCTGGGGGGCGAAAATGTAATAATAATAAAGAACCATAAAGGAATGTAAAAATGAAAAAAAAAAAACATGTGAGAAACAATATACGGTATGTATGTTATGTTGTCAATAGTAAGAGAAACAATTGAGACTTGAGACCCTGCAATTGTGTGTAAATGAGGCAGAAGTCAGATCAGCAACCTGGGACTTGGTCACAATTTTCGTGATGCTATATGGCAGCAGGGTCTACCATTAGACAACACATTATGCTTCCAATATCTTCCCAGGTGGTAGTACCTTGTGGGGTATGAGATGTTTTGGTTCACACTCAGGATGGAATGGAGAAAGGAAACTCACAATGTGCTCTCTATATACATGTTGTATTGGATGTACAATGCAGCTTGGTGCTGGGAAGGCAGCATGGTTACAAGCGTGATGTAGAGAGAGCTGGTTGGTGAGGACGCTCAGAGAAGGACAGCTTGTGGGTCGCCATGCTCGCCAGCGGGAGAGAGGACCGCCAGGCAGGCGGAGGTGTTGCTGGCTGGTTGGTGTAGGTAGAAAGAGAGACAGATCACCACGAGGTCAGGTCTTAAATAGCGGGGGTAGGCGTGGCTTAGCAGTTGACCCCCGCTCCGTGGTGTATGGCGGCGCTGGTTGACCTAGACCACGAGGCATACACTGGGGAATTGGTGGGGTCGGCTAGGCAGCGACAAACAGCGTTTGTAGGGGAGAATTCCACTACAATACTCCCCCTTCCCTCCAGGCTGTGTAGGAGACTTGTTGTCTGCAGAGTTGCATAGCACATGTGAGGCAGAACGGGCGGTGCATGCCTCATGTGAGACAACGGCGATGGCGTGGATGAGCCGGTCGCTGGGGACAACTGTCTAGATACACAATATCTGTGGGAGTAGAGAGGGAGAATAAGGGTGTGTGGAGGCGATGAATTTTGTGCTTCCCTCACGGCAGGTACCGAGTCGTCAGATGCGCCTGCTGGGGTGTGTGGGCCTGGGTCAGGAGCAGGGGCTGCGTCAGCAGAAACGGATGAGGGCTCGTGACAGCAGCTGGGTCCACGACAGCAGCAGGGTGCAGGACATTAGCAGGGAGTACCTGGGGGAGAAAAGAGGGGTGTGTGTGTCCGCACTCAGGAACAGAGGCCGCATCAAGGGCGGCAGGGGTTACTGCTGGGCCGGGGTCGGCGTCTGAGGCAGGACGGGTGTGCTGGGGTCGGTAGGACGTGGTGCTTGGGGCAGGAAGAGGAGCTGGTGTCTGCTTAGAGTAGCAGAGCTGCTCTAGGGTGTCTAACCTGCGGTGTAGAGACAGTAGCTGTAGAGCCGATGAGAGCTGCTTCTGGGTGGATAAGCCAGTCTTCCATGTTGCTTGAAGACTGGGAGCGTGATCAGTTTCTCCTCCATCCTGTGTGAGTGCGAATCTCCGGGAGTCACCATTTGTGGGGTATGAAATTGTTTGGTTCATACTCAGGATGGGATGGAGAAAGGAAACTCACGATGTGCTCTCTATATACATGTTGTATTGGATGTACAATGCAGCTTGGTGCTGGGAAGGCAGCATGGTTACAAGCGTGATGTAGAGAGAGCTGGTTGGTGAGGACGCTCAGAGAAGGACAGCTTGTGGGTCGCCATGCTCGCCAGCGGGAAAGAGGACCGCCAGGCAGGCGGAGGAGGAGCGAGGACCGCCAGGGAGGCGGAGGTGTTGCTGGCTGGTTGGTGTAGGTAGAAGGAGAGGCATACACTGGGGAATTGGTGGGGTCGGCTAGGCAGCGACAAACAGCGTTTGTAGGGGAGAATTCCACTACAACCTCCCTGTTTGGTAGCTGTTTACTACCTTCTACCTGTAATGCTTCATTTGGTAGACACTTAGGCCCCAGGGCTCGCACTATCGCTTTTACTTCGTCTTTCGTGGCCATAAAACATACCAGCCCGATCCATGTTCGATCCGTGCGGCTTTTGTCACATCTCCCCCCCCCCCAAAAAAAGAAAATACATTACATAATAGTAAGCTAACAAGGAGATACAATATTGTAAATAGTTTTGAATTTTACGTGTTTGTGGCATAGGCAGCACTTATATATATATATATATATATATATATATATATATATATATATATATATATATATATATATATATATATATATATATCATTATATAATAACTGACTGGATAAGCACTGCCACCGCTCTGCCACAATGGCGATGAAAAAGCATTTCTTGATGAATAGTTTTTGCGGAAAATTTCATGGGTGTAACGATATAAAAACAAATTCATTAAACCTGATTTATGGAATTTAATAAAAATTAAGTTAAAGTAATTTAGGTTTGTATCGTTTCATAATGTGAAAAACAGCCTTCATAAAATACTCTCATTTGATTATCCTTATTTATAAACTTAGTCCCCGCTGTAAAGCTGGGCAAGTCACGTAATTCGCTAATGTTCACTTTATCGATAGTACGCCCATCCTTCAACAAATATTATAGCCATTTGATTCATTTAACTTTGCCTAGGTATAGAACATACAAAATTGAAATCATAGAGACTAATTAAACGAATATTGACAAGTTGGTTAGCTTGGAGTTGACTTGTAGTACAAACTATGTTTCTGAAACTTCCGCAATGTGTCAAGGTGACCCCAATCAACACTTGACGTCAAAGGTGACGCCCCACTGCACGTTTAGGAACACAGTTATCTCAGGAAAAAGGTGTGAACATCCTGCTGGTGCAACGCAACCACAAGGCAGAAGCTACACCGCCGCAGGAAACCGCAACATTTTCACTATCATCGTAACATACATCTTCACGGTATTGCTGTTTCTTGTTATATGAGGAAAAATAGTTCACTTATGGTGTCTCCAGTGAAGTTATTGTGTGTATTTTTTTTCGTAAAACCTGTCTTACAAGTGCTTATTAGATGAATTGCTAGTTACTGCATTTTCAGCAAAATTGGTGTCAACAGTCGCTGTCGCCAAATTTGGCGCATCAACCAAGATGCGTCTTCTGAATTATCTCCCAAACAACCAACATTGATTGATAGTTCCACATGAAAGTAGTACTCGTTAAACTTTGAGTTGAATTTTCACCCTACGGCTTGTAAATCGCGTTAGTTTGATACCCAGTGACTGAAGGAGATAGATCAGTTCCTCCATGTGGATCCTTCCAACCTGGTGGTTACTGGACAAAACTGAAGGAGCGTAAGCATTAAGCATTGGCGGATCCAGGAGGAAGGTGTTTAATTGCCAGATTGTCTCCTCTTCATAGCATCAACCCTCTCCCAATCACCCCTTTCAGCTACAGTTATTTGTTTGAAAGCATTACTGTTAACTGACTTACGAGATAAACAAAAAACATCTTTAAAGTGGCCCACACAACACTCCGAAAGGCGCCGCATTGATTGATGGAAGGGATAACCTGAAGAGTAAGTAGCTCCCATCCTTTTCGCATTATAAGATAAACCACTAATGCTAAACTAATCAAACCTAACTACCCAAGTACTGTAAGGGAGTTTAATCTTAAAGTGAAATAAGTTAGAGGCTTATCTTCAGGTGATCCGACGGAATTTACAGGTTTTGATATTGTTATAGGGCGTGCAATAACTCTAGGCTACACTGGATAAGGTGCTATATTAACTGAGTTTATACTTAGCAGCTGTTTGGCGGCACCACACAGACGCCGGAGGAAGGGGGATTAAAAATGAACATAGTGAGCCATCTTCCTGACCTAGGCCTAGAGTATAGAATCCTTGACGATGCCCATCTGGACGATCGTCTTTGTGTCAATTTTGCCATCCCACTTAGACGAATAGGTTAGGTTAAATAGTTCACGTGGGAAAAATCGTCTATTTAAGTCTTAAGAATTGCTTAAGTAGCATGTGCCCGCACAGAAGTATGAACTGGAATATAACAAGCTCCTACGTGTGATCACATTTTCAAGGGTACAGAGGTGATTTTTTAAAGCTCTTGTACTATTACTTTTATCCTCTTCGCCACTGATCGGCTTGTTAGCCGCTTGGGCGATCGGTCACGTCTCTGATTACTTTTCCGTTTCATGTTAAGCTTGTATTTATCTGCAGCGTCTTTGTTAGATAGTACTGCAGAATGGAATATAAGACGCATAATTAAGATACTCCACTTGCATAATCTGAGTCCTACCTGGTGTACCGATAACTTGATTTTGTGAAAATAGAGGAATGAGCTGATATTGTGTTAAGCGGATAAGAATGGGCAGTAAAGGGATTGATTGATTGATACGTTTATTGAGATACAAAAAAACATTAATACATCTCAAAGGGATGAAGTGACATAAGTCATCCTCACCCCAGTCCAGGAATGTCCCTCTCAGGACTCACATAAATCCCTAATATTTCATATAATTAGTTATAATACATAGTTATATTCTAGATGCAAAATTTCTATATTTCTTTAATATTTCATCTATTTTCCCATTTCCAAACATTCATAGTAAAGGGATAAATGGGAGTGTGGGACAAGTGTTGCAATCGGGGAGAAATAAACTGAAGAGTTGCTGAATGCCTTAGATTCTGGATGCGAGAATATGGAAGCAGTGGAACGTTTTACTGTCTTAAGGAAATCTACATTGAGGCAAGTAACGAGAGTATTATGCTTATGCGAATCAGGTGAAAAGGAGATTCTGGACTACTTATTCTGCCAACTGGCTCTAGAAGTAAACAGTAACGCCACTGTTCCTTGACAATCTTTTTCTCCCTCCGATAGTGACTGATAGTCACATGTTTATCTGGATGTCACCACACTGATGCTGAGCCTCAGTGCGTTTCCGCTTGTCTTCAAAATGTGAGTGTTTTGAGATGATAAAATAACATTGACGTCACTTCCTCGCTGTACCAGACACTCCCCCCTCGCTGACGTTCTGAGCAAGGCAGTGTAAAGAGGGAGGTTCTCTGATACTGCTGTAGGTTGACGAGAGGAACAGCTTCTTGTGTTTGGTTGCGTTCTGTGTTGAGAACTCTGTTTACCGTCATACGTTGTGAGAGAACCTAAGTGACTATGGTTAAATAATATTACAGGGTGTGGGTGAACTGTAGACGTTATATCAATGTGGGGAACTATAGACATTTTAATATAGTGTGAGGAGTTTTTAAGCGTCGCAACATGGTGTGGGAAATTTATAGACGCCACAACATGGTGTGGGGGTACTCTAAACGTTATAATACCCCTGTATGTATGGTGGCATAATAGACGCCATAACAGTGGGGAACTAAAAACGTCGTAGCACGGTGCGGGGAACTACAAATAACACAATGTGGTATATATATATATATATATATGCAAGTAAATCACTGTAGGTGCGCGTGATCTAGGTATATGCTGATAACCACAAGGAAAGAAGAAAACACGAAGTTCCCAAGCGCTTTCGTGTAATTCACATCTTCAGGGGTGAGTACAGACTGTACTGTACAGTGTACTCACCCCTGAAGATGTGAATTACACGAAAGCGCTTGGGAACTTCGTGTTTTCTTCTTTCCTTGTGGTTATCAGCATAAGGAGATATTATTGTGTGTACGAGGCTGTTGACACCTGCGGCAGGAGGAAAGGGGGTGTAAAATTGTGGTTCTTGCCCATCCCACTCTCTCACTACTCACCCACAGTGCAGTTCATGTAGTTTTATCTTTCTTCCTCCATTCAATGGTACTCGTTGGCTCACACCCTGGTGTCGTAAGCTCCTATATTTGTACCTTAACTTCTTCCCCTTATCTCAGGAATGAGGAAACGCCTATAGTCACGGAAGAGTAGCTGCCAGCACATGTGTTCTTACATCTTCATTTAATGTCAAGGCCAAAATTCGCTCCATCTGCATGATTTGTTTATTGCAAATAATCACGATGTAAAGTAACTAAAGTAGAAAAAATCCAATGCAAATGGAAACATTAATCATGCGTTACACCAAGTACAAAAGATAAAAAAAATGGCTTAGAGTCAACAATACTACGACACAAAACAAAGTTGCGTAGTCTCAATCAGTCAGTTAATAACTCAGGGAAGATGTTCATAGAGCTGGCTAAGGCGGCTAAAAATACAAGAGAGCATACACAACCTAGCAAGCCACACTTCCCGCTCATGAGTCATGCGCTCTTAAAAATTTTGCCAGGTTCTGCTCATCTTTGATGATACGTGGCCAAACAGTAGTGCTATTTGTCACTGCTGTACTATATAATAGATCCTTGAATATTGAAGTACAAAGGTACTCTAGCACTATTAAAAGACGTCTCTTGTATATTAACCGGCATTAAGGCCCCTTTTAATCAAAATAATAATTTCTGCAACATGATATTCATTGTTATAAATATATATATATATATATATATATATATATATATATATATATATATATATATATATATATATATATATATAATTTACGTTAATCTAAGCGTGAGTATACGATAATTTAACTGAATTTCGTGAGTTAACAAAAATGCGACGACTCACTAGATAAGATTCTACATATCCTTCACTTTAGGGGTCAACGGGTTAAGAGATCACGAAGATCATTAAAATGCAGAAATACATCTGAGGCTTGCAACTTGGTCCGCCTCTGCTAACTGGCTTAATTTATCTTGTTTATTAATTTATATTTGTGGTTTACTCTCTCTCTCTCTCTCTCTCTCTCTCTCTCTCTCTCTCTCTCTATATATATATATATATATATATATATATATATATATATATATATATATATATATATACATACAGCCTGTTTTTCGTGATCTTAAAATCTTTGGGGATATTACAGTATATTTATAATTGATAATGCAAATTATCGATCATCCTGCCTGAATACCTATATACAGTACTGTACATTAATATATAGCATACGTATGTAGTTGGAAAAAAATTATATATTATTGGAATATTATAAGAATAAATTTGATCGCAAACACAGTCATTATGTTGTAGTGGTAAATTTCGGGAGAAATCCAAAACTAATAGAACCAAGAATTCCCAAATAAACATTCAAAATATATGGTTCATCCATGACATCACAAGTATAAATTATACCTTATAGAGGATCAGAAACATTAACACATCGTAGTTGGATCGTTTTCAAAGCTAAAGTCTGATCTTCTTTAGTTTGTCATTCCCGATTCTCTCTTAATGTTGTGTCGTTTATGCGTCAATAATAGAGGTGGAGTGGGCTGTAACTTTGCGTTGTGACAGCCTGATCATGGGTGGTGTTTATTGAAATTTCTTGTGTAATTAGAAGACACAAGGATAAACCTTAGAACAATGGCGTCAGCCTCCAGTTTAGCTTCAAAGCTGAAGAAGAAGGCTGTGAGGGTGAAACATCAAAAAGTGAAGCTGTTCAGGGCGAACGAACCCTTCCTCTCCGTGTTCATGTGGGGGGTAAACCACACGGTAAGTATATAATCTGTACTTTAATTCACTTGACACTGTCTTTTAGTATCGATTTGCATATCTGTAATGTCATCTCTCGCCTTGTGTAACGTGTTATTAACAATCTCGTTTTGCAGGGCCCACCACCAAGCAGCAGTGTTCTGAATTTTGCTTGTAAATTCCTGAGTATTATGTCTTAATTATAGTGTTGTAAGGATAATCAGAAACCCTGAGCATTACCGGGTATTGGCGGTGCAGTTAGAGAATTTAGGATTATGGCAAATATGTGGTTGCTTGGCTTCTGAAATCCAGCATGAAGTGTTTTGACTTTTCTCCTCTGAAACACCCAAATGTAATTACAGTACACTTCTATGAAAGTGAAAATCAGAATTTTAACAGTTAAAGAAATCAGAAGGTTCCTAAAAGGTGGTGCCATGCACAACAGTTTTACAGTTTATAAATTATAAGCAAAATTTTGGGGGTCCGACTAATTACCCAAATGTAGCCAAATATAGCCGGAATGAAGTCAAATAATGGTCCTAGATGAATAAATCGGACTGCCAATCACTTCTCGACTAGTATTTGGTGTCACAAAGTCACAAAAAATTGGTAAACTTAATTTAATCTGAGTTAATAGATCAAGTGCATGTACCTAACCCAACCTAATCTAATCTAATCTAACCTAACCTAACCTAACCTAACCTAACCTAACCTAACCCAACCCAACTCAGATTAAATTAAGTTTACCAATTTTTTTTTACTTTATGACACCAAATAATAATCGAGAAGCGATTCACAGCCCGAATTACGCTTGTACGACCATTATTTGACTTCATTGCGGCTACATTTGGGTAATTCCTCGCTCCGTCGGTACGTGCACTTGATCTATTAACTCAGATTAAAGTAAGTTTTCCAATTTTTTGTGACTTTGTGACACCAAATACTAGTCGAGAAGTAATTGGCAGTCTGATTTATTCATCTAGGACCATTATTTGACTTCATTGCGGCTACATTTGGGTACATTTGGGTAATTAGTCGGACCGAAATTTTGGCTTTGACAGATTACCTATACGTATGGGTAAAGGTGTTTAGGACTAGTTTCATGGGTGAAGTTTTCCTTGTGCACTGGTCTTTCTCTCGCTGTTATTAATTTGTATTTCGTAATGTTAAGACAATTCAAAGACATTTTTCTTTTATGATAATTCTACCGGAAATTAAGGATAACCGAGATGTTAATTTTTCAAGAGGTAAAGGTGTAGATAACGGCTACCACCAGAAGTTATTTGTTGATTGCTTTTATATTTGCTGTACTTATTGTTTTGATGATTTTAAGTATATTAAAAGAAACGACAATTTTCTATCCCACTTCACAATGCTTCTCCCGGTACCATTTTTGTTGTTTACCTCGCTGAATCCCTCTTCAAGAGATGTTTCCTATAAATGATGGTGAACACTTCCACTTATTCCTCCTCGCCATTGCTGATTTATATCAACCTCAATATTAACTTGATAATGCATAGAACCTAATAGAACCTGACCTAACATACCTAACCTATGGGTATGTTATGTCAGGTTGTATTAGGTTCTATGCATTGTCGTTTTCATTTTTGTGTTTAATATCATGATATTAGTGTGTAGAAAATATTTAAACCAATTCGGACAATTCCTTCTGGTGGTAGCCGTTATCTACGCCTTTACTTTTCAATATTATTATTAACGTGGGGGATTCATCGGTGATTGCATGTATTTCAACCAGAAATCCATAAAAAAAAAAATTGAAATTTAGCCTAAGCTTATTATACTGTAGTATAAAATCCTGAAATCAGGATAATGTATGAATACTGTACACCCTCCAAATTAACCCTAAATGTCTGTAAAAAATAGTGTATGAAACTACCAGGTCAAATGACAGCCCTCAGGAAGTCTCATAATAGTAAATAACCTAAATCATATTTTATTTTATTCAATATTCATGTTTGTACTGTGTACAGTAAACCCTTGTTATTCATGGGGGTTAGGTTCCAGGGAATGACGTAAATAGGCAAAACCGCAAATAGCAACTTATACTACCTAAGTTCACTACTGTCTACCAATACCAAACAACCGATCAGCAGTGGCAGCACTCATCCCCTCATTTAACTTATCTAATAATTCAACATTCTTTGCTAGGGTCATCACTGACTTCTACCTTTTACAATTCACTCCACTAGCATCACTAGCACTGACACTAGGCAGTCTTTTAGGGGCCATTTCACAAAGAAACACTAAATTTTTGAGAGTATAACACATGAGATGCTCCGAGGGGTGACTCGTTGTGCTGTGGGAAAAGGCTCGCAAGCTAGCCACCATCTACTTAGCATGAATCATAGAAATCGCAAACCCGCAAATGACAGTGGTCTACTGTACTTCATGATTTATACATTTCTTGTACGTACAGACAATGCATTGATTAGGTATGAGGTGTTTCTTAGGATGATATTTAATTTTAACAGTGAAATTACACTTCTTGCATTTACCTTGCTTATTTGCATACAGTTGAGACAAGACTAGAATGGATGAATTGCCAAGTACCTGTATATGATTAAAATGAAAAGTATTTTATTCAAAGAATTGGTTTGTTGAATTTTCGAAAATAATTAGTGATATTTTTAATGCTCATCTGGAGAAAAATTTCTAAAAAGTCATCAGATTAAAACAAAACAAAAAACACAATTTTGTCAGTCTGCCCCAAAGAACTTGAAATTTTTGCATTGTTAGGGTATTGACTGATTTCACTTTAGAATTGGGTTTCTCTACAGTACAGGGTATTGAGAAATAAAGAGTATGTATGAATTTTTTGTTTCTTTGCTTATCAATTTTTTTCTTTTTTTTTACAGAGCAGTGAGCTGAGTCACATTAATGTACCAGTAATGTTGATGCCTGATGACTTTAAGGCTCATTCTAAGGTCCGTGTGGACAACCACCTCTTTAACAAGTGAGTCAAGTTTTGTTTTAATTTACTTTCTCGTGGAATTGTAAACTTTGTAATGAAGAGATTTACAATGTGCATTTTATTCTTACCCTACATATTCATTTGGTTTTCTTAAATTTACTGATACAGTATTTCTTGTAAATTTAATTGTTATACTATTTATTTTTCATATATATATTTTTTTACTTAGAGATGTACATTGTTCTGAGTGTAAAAAAATTATGTACTGTAGCTATTCATTAGTCAATGCTGTTTTTAATGAATGCATAATTTAATAGTGTGCTGTACTTTAACTTGTTATGTGTGGTAATCTTATTTAAACTAGTGAGCAGAAGGTGGCACATAAGATCTAAAGAATTGATCTTCAGTAGAGTAGAGTAGGTATATCTTACATTAATAGTCATTTGCGATGTTTATGAATTACAGTATTGTACTACTAAAAGCTGTAAAAGGATTATAAACTTTAAAAGATAATTACAATACACTAGTGATACATTCATATATATACCTGGATACCACTCCAATGTCATGCCATGAGCAAAATATATATAAGATGTAAACCCACAAAAAAATTATTCGGCACCCATGTCATATTGTATCACGCTGTAAGGGTGCCGAATAATTTTTTATTTGGTGTACAACTTATTGGCACACATCGGGATGGCCTCTCTGGCCGGTCTGTACTGCTGTACACCCATTAAGAAATTATTCGGCACCCTTACGGCGTGATACAATATGACACGGGTGCCGAATAATTTTTTTGTGGGTTTACAATATGTATAAGTAAAAAAAAAAGTACCTAGTCACACTGTGTCCAAATTTCATCATTGTAGCTCAAAATGTACCTGAGATATATAATGGCTTGTACTGTACTGTCTGTATTTAGTGTTTGATTCCCTTGCATTACAGACACTTGCTACACTACCACTCACATTTGACGTTGTAAAAGCATTAGTGACACACTGTTTGTTTTTTGTCATAATACTTAATAGGATCGGTGTGTGCAGTACTAAGTTTTCCAAGCCTGTTGTATGAAGGAAATATGGGATTAACCTTTCCAGAATGTTGATGATGATTTAGTAATCTACAAGGCATAGTAACTCACATGGTTAGCTAGCTTTGAATCATGAATGTCCATGAATTAGGAATCAAGACTAGATCATCAAAGAATAGACACATTGATAGTGATTTTGCAGACACAGTAATCTAATCTAGAAATAAAGTTTGTGCTTTGTGAAAAGTCCTATTAACATTGTTCTGTGGTGATGATCCTATTACAGTATTTTCTTTTATTAGTATTTTATTTATGATAAGTTACATTAGATTTTTCATTGGCTATGGAACAGACAATAAGGATTCCCTGCAGAGGGACAGTTGCCTCGTTTTTTAGGAGGCCTTTACTTGAGTCTGTACTTTCACTTGTTTTCCAGGACTTTGCTGTAGGGTCTGCATAGAGAAGGGATATTTGTGAGGATAATTCCTGTACATGTGGGGTAACATACTTTAGGGTTTTATGTAACAAAGCTCCTGGAATTCTCTCCACATCCTTGATTTTTTTAGCTAGCTTCTGATACATGAGTCATTCTGAAATGGCATTTGGTTTTAAATGATGGTTTGATCCTTACCCGTTGAAAGTTGTACTACTGTGAGCCTGCCTTGTAAATGAGACAGGTGAGTCATACTTTGCATAATAAGCTGCACAGTGTATGATCCATTTGAGTTTTAGCCATTTAGCCATTGGGTAGACTCAGCTTCTATTTTTTTTGGGGGGGCATTAATTGCTTCTGGGGACTAACTTAATCTTTGAATTTTCTCTGGCTATTTTAGTTTGGCCTTGGCAAAATTCACCCAACTTTGGTGTTGCATTGTGCACAAGTTGTTCCTCAGTTGCTCATTTATGAAACAAGATTTAAGGATCAAGTCTTCATATTTAGCACTAATTATAAATTTTGCACTGCAGAGAGAATCTTCCGTCACACTTCAAAGTCAAAGAATACTGTCCCATCGTCTTCAGAAATTTAAGAGAGAGATTTGGCATCGATGACGTAGATTTTCGAGAATCATTGACAAGGTAGGATAATGTATGTTTATCTTGCAGACCTTTATGAAATCTTAATATGTGATATCCAGCACTAAAGCTAATTTGAGTTTTCATGGCCTTTTATATATTCATCGCTTGATTTGCTTACACCTTTAATGACTGCAACTTTCTATTGCACTTTAGTCTTTGGTAGAGGAGTTTAAAGCTTGCTTTATATGAATTTTTAAAATTTTCTTCATTTTGCTTTTAAATACTGTAGTACCGTACACTATATTTCCTGATTGTTTTTCAAGAAGTCTCTTTATATGACAGACTTATTTCTGCTATGCATCTGTAGTTGTAGACAATGTTCTCGTAGAGTTCGCTTTCACTATTTCTTCATGGCTGATTTTTAACATGTTTAGTGTCACACTTTTATAAAATGCATTTCAGTGGTTGTTCAGTATTTTAAGAGGAACAAGTCTCATCTTTATCTTTGGTTAATCCTTACCCATATTAGATTTCTCTCTTTCTGTCACATATTGTAATGAGAACAACTTAAGAAGAGCAGATAATTTTCTTAGTGCACCAAGTTGCAGCCTAACGCAGAGGCCTCTCTTAGGTCGAGAATAATTGAAGTCCAGCGTTATGGGGTCATGAAAATGGACAGGTAATAGTGGTGCATTTTTATCTTCTTAAAGTAATTATTTTGTTATTTACATTGTATCATACATTACATGCTCAAGAATTTGAGCTGCTTAATGGCCTTCAATAGAGCTCATCTTGCCTGCTGTCAAGAGGTTAGTGAGCCTTACTGAAGTCTGCACTTTAGTATGTCCCCCAAAGAATATGATGATGCATTTATTTTAGATGCTCTGTAGCTCTGATAATGACTACTGTATTAATTTTTTTGTAATTATGTCCCAATTGTTACTTTTTGGATAATTTGAGAATTAAAAAACAAGCATTCAAAACATAATTACTGAGTGACATAACTGAGGACACTGATGAATACTGTATAGTTGATATTGTGGGACATGCACTAAGTGAAGCTCAAGTTCATTGTTTTGTTATTTGGCAGTACTAACATTGTGGAGTCATGCTTATTTGATTTGAGAATAATGTACTGTAATTATAACAAGTGTTCCATTAAAAAATTCAAGTGTTTCATTGTGCAGAGGAAACCAAATCTTGACTGAATATCATTGAAATAAAAGGCAAGGTGAATACTGTAGTATAGAGCGAGTTGTTTAAAAGAGCAAGAACTGTGCTGGGTACAGGGGGTAGAAGGACGGAGTCAGGTAAAGATGTACTGTACTACAATAACACGGTACAGTATCAGAAGGTTTTAAGCAAATGTAAGCTGGCAGGTAACCATCCAATACTGCACTTATTTTATAGTGAACTAGATATTTTGATCTCTGATTGTCAAGAAGGTATCTCTTGACCCCTTATTATTTCTGACCTCTGATATTAATTATATACTGTACACTGAAATGTTTATTGCACCAAGTTGCGATTTTCCTCAAACATTGAACAGGCAAAAAGGATGTTTTTATGTGTCATTTCAAAGGTGCATTAACATCAAAACAGAGCAGTAGTAAGTAAAACAGCTGGATTGATATAGACAAGGGGATGATGGTTTGAACTGTATTGAAACATTGATCATTCAGGTAGTGGTAGAATAAGGAAAGGTGGGGGACAGTGAATGGCAGAAATGATGTGAAGGGAGGCTTGAAGTGAGGGCTGACCTATAGATATGGATTTTTACTGTACAGAGGCTACCAATTTCTTGAAGAATTAGGATATGTGTCCTCAGTAATGGGTTTAGTATCATAAAGGATGTATAGTTTAGAAGATGGGAATAGTACAAGAAAAAATGTCAAGTGTCACAAAAGCATATTTAAAATTTTTGGTATGCATTCTCTTAAAGCAAGAACGTTAGTAATGGTTAGTCTTGGTGTATTGATATGGAAAGTGGGTACAGAAAAAATTGGTTTGTATAGAGTAAAAACTACAGATGATCTTTTATGTGAGAGAGAGGGTAAGTGCTTCTAGTTTTGGAAGTACTGTACTGTATTAAATGTTTCTTGGTTAATACTACTGTACCTAAATGTTGAATGGCTATGAGATCTGAGGTTACTATTACTGAGTAGACAGAGTATAGGTGTGTGTGTTTTTTGTGTATCTGCTTATTTGAAAGACCATGTAAAAGAAAGAGCACAGGTACAAAATCATTAATAGGTGATCGAACAGGGTATTAGCAGCTCGTTTTAAGAGGGTTAACTCCTGGAAAAGTTCGAAGAAAGTAACATGAAGGAAAGGCGATGAAATAAATACTGTGTCACTAGAAGAGTTTGGGAGTAACAGAAGAATAATGAAAGCATAACTGTAGATAGAGAAAGTGTGCACAATGAGGATTTTTTTTAAAGCTGTCATGAAGTACAGTATAAATGGTTCATACTGTTCTTTCTTTCCAAAATAAATTGGGTAACTTAGAGAAGAATATCTACTACAGTATATGTATTACCAAAGCCCTTAAAGAGGGCATATAAGAAGCAACACCAGCACATAAGGTCAGAGACTGGTGAGATGTTATGTCACATTACCACACGTGCACCTCACCTGTGTTCCATTTCCATATGGATAAGATTGGGATGAAATTAAACGTAAGGAGGGGATTAGCCAGTGCATAAAGGGGCAAATATGTTCTTTTCATTTACTGTACTTCTGGGACAATTGTCTCTTAGGATTGAGGAGGGGCATCCTTTTCTGACCACGGTTCTGTTTTTGACCCAATACCTACCGGCAGTACGAGGAGTATGTTCTGAGAAAACTTTTGGCCATCTAGTTCCCATGTACATGAAGGCTGGTTCAAGTACCGGTAGTTAGATTGTGGAAGTATTTGTGGTGGATGATGATCTTTCTCAGCCTATTCATGGAACATCCAGAGTTATGTCTTTGATAATTGACTCAGCTGAGCTGTGTCTCTCAAGTTTATTATCTCGGGGACATTGAATGGTCTTATATACCGTACTCATCCTGCAATTTATGATACAAAGAGACACGTAGTCTTTGGCATAATGTGGGTTAACAGCTATTTAGTCTGGGAGCTATACATATGTTTGTAAGGTTAGTTTCTTGTGTCCACTTAGGTATTTAGCAAGGATGATATCCCTAGAGGTGTGTGTTGGATGAGAGTTTGGAACTTATTTATGCCACTTTCTTTTCTTTATCAAGTTGGTGGCTTCAGGCAGTAAATAGAGGATTGTTCTTGCAATCTCATTTTATGATTGAGCCCATAACTAAGCAACCTAGATACCTTCCCTCCTCCCAATCAGTTGTGTGGCAATTGACTGAAACTAAATAAATTGACATCTAGAATTCCAAATTGTCTTTCCATTGTGATCGAAAAGGGGCACATGTTAATCTCAGGTTGCGAACAGTAACTATTTCTTCTAATTTACCTTTTTTTTTAAGTGTTCTTATTGCAACAGGTAGATGAGTTTAATCAATGGCTTGGTCCTAGCTGTTAATGTTAAGGTTTACTTGTGTTATCTTACCTAGACTTAGTACAGTGTAGGTAACACAAGTTACTTGGTTATGGGCTCGGCTATGAAACCTATACTGTACTGTAATTCCAATCAACCTTCATAATTATAGATTATGATTCCATTACACCTTTTGAAGATCCAAACCATTGAAAGGGTAAATTGGGAGATTTGGTAAATTAGTTTTTTGTTTAATTTAACATGATGAAATTCTAGTTATTGTTAATCTCTTGTTAGCTATCTACCTACAATATTATGGATGCCTTCTCTTGCTTTTAAGCATAGTGAAACATACAGTATCTTCTCCTAACTCATATTCATGGCCAAGTGTTGTACAGAATTTAGTTTTGCAAATACAGTATGTACTTAACACACTCATGGTCCTGCCTGTCCCCCTGTGAACTCTTTGTGGAGTGGATGTGCAATGTTGCTTGTAAAAGTTTTTTTCTGTTTTAATGTTTGACATTATTTTAAATGGTAAATCATATTTTTATCTACAATTTTACTTGCAAATAAATGTTCTAAGTGAACTGGGCTTAGTAAGGGTGAATTGAAGAAAAAAAACCATGTTATTAGGAAGCGAGATTGTCAACCTTTGTGGTGAAGGCTTAGATGTACAGTATTCCTCTCTTCCCTTCCCCTTGCACTATGTATTTTATATAAAAGGTGCTTATCACCTGTAGGTGTCTGTAGAGCCTCAGTTTTGACCCTTCCACCAACTCCAGGGTATGATGTATTCCCTGAAGATGCTCCTCTTGGTGGAAGGGTCATGTGGCAGTGATTACTGCCCTGCCCCTTCCCTGATACCTATACTCCCACCCAGTATTACTTCCTTTGGGCCAGTACACCCTTTCATGTACCTATTTCACTTCCCTCCCCATTTTGTTATGTTTATAAGTGTCACACAAGTGTAGAAACAACAAAAACTACATACCCTGCCAGTAAAATCATGTCATAGGATCCCATCAGTGTGATGCAAATCAGGATAATGTAGGGGTATGGAAGCAGTTGTTTGAAGCATCATAAAGGCTCCCCATGTGACTAGTTATTGTGCTCATTACTCGATTATGCTTATGAGAGCTGGTGTCATATTCAAACTCATGCACTAAATCATGCAAAAATATATCTTAAGATTTTTTTCTTTTGAATCACACATCAATATGTTGCAGGTACATTGGTGGTTGGTATGCTATCATACACGGGTGCATGGCAGGACCACGAGAGTGTTAATAAAATATGCTAATATCTACAGAAACAAGCATAGGGATAACTAAAATCTAATTTTTATCAGTATGTATTTAATGTAATGAATACTATAATGCACATATGCACATTATACTACCGGGAGATTAATTCTGAAAACTATGCACAATACAGCACATACTGAATTTAATTTAACCTAATCTAACAGTCTAACCTAACCCAATTTAATCTTGGTTGTAAATTACTTAAGAATTGTGAAAAGGTTGAGGTCTCCATTTTTAATAAGTCCAGTTTTGCTCATATTGAGCTCTGTCCCCAACCATCCTGGGAGGGGAACTGTGAAATGCATGCTTTGTTTGGCTCCTGCCATCCTAAGAGGAAGATTCAGGAATGCATGCATTGTTCTCTGCTGTCTCAGAATGGGACCTAGGAATGTATGTTCTCTCTTGGTGTCTGGAAGCTGTGAACATAATAACTCAGAATGAAGAGAAAAATTCTAACCAAATTTGTTATGTAGATATATTTTGAGAGGATGTCAAATGAATTCAGCAATCAGTATTTTCTGATACTATTGTCCAAAATTTTGGTCCATTGAAATTGGCTATGGTATGGCTAAGGATTTGCCTACCTTCTGTGGCATTCTATTTATTATTACACACATCTGTGTGTTTATCTGCTGAAGTATAATTTTGATTAGATCTCAAGGGACATATTCCTCCCCCTTAAGTTTAGCCATTGATTTATCTCCACATCTTTATGTGTTAAGGATTTTGCAGTAATAGTAAATAAAATGTTGGAGAAAATATAGAAAGCACAGGGAAAGAATAGACAAGTGTTATTGTTGTATCTAATCACTGAGGTGTCCCCTGCCCAGAGACTAAAGATATTTGAAACTAGTATTTGAACAGGTGGTAATTATATACATGACATACAAAAAAACACTCTGAGGTAGGGAGCTCCACAGGGTACTAGTCTTCATTAGTGTACAGTACAAGTATTTTATGTGTATCTTCAGCTCTAAGATTAAAAACAGTCATTAAAGGACATTGTATTTATATTTATGGTACATATGCATAAGAAAGTACTGTACAATATTGTCTTTAGCTTCATAGTAGGGTGAGACTTAGAATTGCAGTCACTTCTATTTTGGTGGCAAGTTTATTTCCCTGTATGAATGCACGACTTATAGGAGAACTGGATCTACTGGTTATTGTTGGATTTGTAGTTGAAAGATATGGAACTTGCTTAGTAAATGAAACCAAAATTAATGGGAGAAGTGAAAAATCATGTTAATGGGTGCAGTAAAACAATAATATTCCATTACATTTTCCTCTCTTTTCTGTAGCTAATCCACATTGTAGTACGTGACACATTTATTTTGCTCCAGTTGCACTTGACTTGGTCACACCTTATAACCTCTGTAATCTGCATGGTTATAAGTACAGTACTAATGCTACTATTTCTAAACTATATACGTAATAATATTTTCTCGGTGGGCCTTTTTGAACATGTAATTAGATTCAGAGGTACCTGTATATGATTACCCTTAATTGAATGACACTTGCTAGAGACTTGGCAACTCTAGCAGTTGAGTGACAGCTTGTACAAGCTGCAACTGTGACTGTCCTGTAATTATTAAATTTTTTAATCAGGGACAGAGTTGCTAAATTTTATGACCTATTCCCTGGACCAGATGACATGCATATTTACCCACTAATTCCATGGGCTGAAAACCTTGGAATGTGATATAATTTAAATATAATTAATGGTGTTTCAGTATTTAAAGTATAAAGATATTACTTAATAAATTTTTTCTCCATCTAAAAGTTGCCTCTTCATGTCTACTAGTGTATAGTTAATTTAGCCATTATACAGTATTTGAAGAAAGGGAACATTATAGACTATTATGTAAGAAACACTTTGGCTTCAGCTTGTTGTAATGGAATTGTTTACAAGCCAACATAATTTTTTTAATCCAGTTCTGCTCTTTGACAGAACTCTCCAACAATTTCTTGCATTTTTCAAGAGATTTATCCTCTCTAGAGATGTCAGGAAATTGATCAGCAAGTGAATTGAACTGCAATACTTTTAGTGCTAAGATATTTCTCAAAGCCATCACTTTAGATGTTAAGTTGGTGATAAGGTTCACTGACCTCTCACCAACTGCATTCAAGGATCTGTCTAGATCCTTCCTCTTGAACTGATCCATATAAAGTTTTTATAAGTTAATTGGTTCTAAGACTGTTGAGATCTTTGTAATGGTTGAAGCAGAATTAGCCTCACAGAAGGTCACTTCACTATCAGCTCGAGCTTTGGGGAGGACTTCAGAAATTCTTTCTTTGAGGAGAAGCTCTAATTTTGTCTCATTTGGTTCTTCTCTCAATTGGCCAAACCTTATGCCACGTCTCAAGTAATGTGACTCCTTGCTTTAGGCCAAAAAACATTTTCTTTCTGACTTGGAAAACTGAGACTGGTTCTTATCAATCCCTTTGTCTGGTTAAAGTAGGTAGTTCCTATCTTAAGATTATACAGTAAAACACTTTCATCAACAAGAAGTAATATAGTACGATGCAGCATAGAACTTTTGGCCAAGGTGTGGAGCTTCCAGAGTTTATGTATTAGCAAATAAAAGTATTATTTTTTTTTAAGTATTTAAATTGACTCATCCAGGCTGCATTGCTAGGCCACAGGATCTCAGAGGCATTGCATCCCCAGTGTCCTTCTTTAATGGTATATCTGTGCAACTGAAAATAGGAGAAAGTGCCTGGTTTGTATCAGGCTAAAATGTTTTGATGGCAAGGTATTCATGAGGAAACAATACTTATGGAGTGTAGATTATTTCCCTATGCTCTCCTATATTGTAGCAGTAAGTTAACTCTCTTCCTGGATTGGCATGTACGGTACATCTTGTTGTTGCCACCAGCCTCTCTATATCTAACTGGCTTCAATATATGAGTCACCTGGTCCACTCATTACATCATAAATGGATTGAACTTGAAATTCCATTTTATGACCAAATTTGAACCAGTTAACTCACTCATTTTTCCTTATTCCAATGGTTAATGATAAAGTTTACTGGATGTGAATGATGAAGCCTGGAATACAAACTTATGACTAAGCTAAATGACAGGTGCTGTGTGTACAGGCTAATGTGATACTGCATCACTATTTGAAGCCTCCATCTTACTTTGAATTGGTACTGGTATTTCTAAAGTTCCCTTTTCAGGGACTTGGTTATGGTATGTAAGCATATTCAATTAATCAGTTAGACCCAACAACTAATGCTTAGGGTTTACCTGGGTTTTTAACCCATGGATTTAAGTACAGTGCAGTAAATGTGCATACTGCCTGGTCTAGGCTCGGTCATGATGAGGTTTCAGGATTAACCCTCTGTTGTTTATCTTCAGAGGAATCATTCAGTTATTTTCCAAGACCTTCATTTATATTTTTTCATTAAGGTTGTACGTATTAATTCCCTAAACCTGAAAGTTTTCAGGTGGAAGGCCTTTCTGAGGTTTGGCTACATTAATTATATTAACATAGCTGAGTGAATGTTGTAATATATTGTACTGTACTACATATACTTTAATACAGTACTTTACTGTCTTATATTGTATTTGATGATATTGCAATTTTCAGGTAAAGTACTTAAATTTGGACTGTAATATAATTTGAATATAATTAATGGTGCTGTTTCAGTATTTTAACTACAAATATATTACTTGGCTCAATTTTTTCTTTTTCTAAAAATTGTATCTTCTTGTTTGCTAAAACATTTTTCATTTTATTTATTTATTTATATATTTTTACATTAGCTAGACTACGGGTATTTTTTCCACCAATGAATATGTGTGCTATTCCTCCCAAGGTCACAACCTGTGGCAATAGACTCCCCGGGTAGAAGTGGTGCACGTTTCTACAATTCCTACGACAAGATGTACATTGTGAAGACTCTAATCAGTGATGAGGTTGAACAAATGCACGCCCTGCTCAAAGAATACCATCCGGTGAGTGAGAGTTATGGTGGAAATGTGCTTTGAATACTTTTACGGAGTAGTTATTATGGGTGATAACAGTCAGATTACAAATGATGTTTAAAGAGAGACAAATAGAGACATAATTTTCTGGAAGAAGAGGTTGGGAATGTAAATTGGAGATATTTGAACTCAGCAAGAGATAAAGGAGTTGATTGCAGGCATTATATGATGCTGTTGTAGATTCTTTGAAAATTGAGAAGTATTAAATTATTTTGCAGGCCTGTCCCTCCACTAGATCTTTTATATGTCCTTTGGCTGTACTGTACTGTTGATGATATACTTGGTAAAAGTATTAAATACAAAGGGTGAGGACTCTTGTTCTTATGAAAAGATGAGTGTGTTTAGATATTTGGTTGAAGATTTGATTACAAGTATCCTTTGGGTTATGGAAGCTTGGGTTGAGGAAATTTACATGAACAATCCAAAATGTATGGAACGAGTTTACAGATATGGAAGAAATACTTACTTTAATGGAAAATACTGTGGAAGATTCTGGAGTTCGAAAAATGGGGAAGACACGTGTAATATTTGTTAAATGAACCCAAAATAGAACACACAATACTATATAATAAGATATTCAAACTACGGTAACTGCTAACTAAAATAAAAAATTGTGCAATATCTATATTAAAAGTGTTATATAGTCATCTTGACTGACCTGGATGGTACAGTACTGTAGAGAAAGGCTGACACAGCTGGGTGGCTGGAGTACTGTACCACTTACTCACAGTTCTGGCAAGTCTTTATGACAAAATGTGCTAGACTGTTTGTATGTACTAATAAGAATATGTGAGAAAATGCTTAGTTTCAATCTGCTAATTGATTAAATTATTTTGATGTTGAGACAAAGTTATTCTCTACTGTTGCATAAGTCATGTTTTGTGGTGCAGTAGATGCAACAAACATATGAAACCCAAATATTTGCCACCTCCCTGCCAGGACACACTTAAACCTTGACATAATCAAAACTATCTATATTTAGGAAGTGCCTGTGTCATACTCCTATAATCACAAAGAACCTGTGTAAGGATATTGATTAAGGGGGGAATAAAAACATTGCCTTATGTCATCAGATTCACTGGTTCACACTATGGCAATGATTGCTAGCAGAGGGGCAAGTCACATTGATAGTTAGAGTAGCTTGAGTTTGTGAGGTTAGTCAGCACAGACTGTTAGAATAGATAAGGTTACTGAGTAGATATGACCATTTGGAGGAAAGTGAGAGAGGAAGATTACAGTTGAAGTAGAAAGACAGCTGGAGATGTGTGAGAAATATATCTGGGTCATTTTACAAGATAATGCATAAATCATCCTGGTTTAGAGAGGGAGAAGGCCTATAGGACAAAAATGGAATGATTGAATGCCATAATTATTTCAATTTTGATTTTTCAGTATGTTGTGAATCGACATGGCAAGACATTGTTACCACAGTATCTGGCCATGTATCGCCTCACCGTAGACAGCATAGAGACTTACTGTGTTGTCATGAGAAATGTCTTTTCCACGTTCCTTCATATACACAAGTGAGCCAGAGGAGGTCTTTAGTTTTTAGTTTGTATATTACTGTATATGCAGTTTCTAATTTAAAGGAAAGGTTTTTGTCACTCATCTTTAACACACTTTACTGTACACCTCTTTCCCTTTGGCCACTTAAATTTCAGAAATGCAACTGAAAACAAGTTGCCTATATTTGCATTTATCTCATTTATGCCACAACCTTCATTTTTTTTCTTGTGCATTGATTTGAGTGGGAACTTTTGATCTCTTCAAATCTGCTGTGCTTGGATGTCTGGACCATGTGTGAGAGGAGAATGGAAAGCCACAGTTGTGTTGATATAAGCCTCTGTGCATCTAAGCTGATTACCATCACTCATGCACTCCCACAAACTGCTTCAGATCTCTGTGATATAGCCCCAAGAAAAAAGTCCTGGAAATGTCATTGGCAATTTCAGTTTTTGCTGCTAAATGACATTGATTGGGAATCGGCCTTTCAGCAGTTTATGCTTGACTTATCCTTTTGTCTCCCATTGCTTCAATGGCAACCTATTATGCTTCATATGTTTCTGAATTTCTTTAATACAATATCTTGATATATTTTTATCATGGTGTGCATCTAATTTCTTTTTTACATGCAACTTCTCACATTTAACTGTTCAGTTTTCTTTAATTGTTTAAAATCTCTTCTTATAATTTTATTGCTTGATATCTCATAATTTATCTTAATTACCTTTTTTCAGGTTTCTGGTCTTTATTGCTCTTGAATGAACTATCACCAGATATATTATTGAGTGCTTGGATCATGATGTGCTTCCCCAACTTATGTTAGGTTCTTTAAAACAGAAAGAAAGCCATTGTGTTACTTCAGCCATCAGATTTTGCTTCAGTATCTTATCCTGTCTACCATAGTTGGGGAGAGGGATATAGTTGATTAGTTGATGGAATATGTAGCTAGAGATAAAAGTATGGTTGTTGGAATGATTTTGTAGTGTAATCACGAATACCTGTACTGTAGTTTTGTCAATAGGAAATATAATTTGTTGGGGGAAATATATTTGTAATAATTTATACAGTATTGCTGTTTTTTCTTTTTCTTTCAGGAAATATGATCTTAAAGGTTCAACAGTTGACCGGGAAGCATCAGTCAAAGAGCTGGAGAAGGACCTCCCAACTCTAAAGGATAATGACTTCATGAAGGACGGTACAAAAATATACATTGGTGAGGAAGCAAAACAACAGCTCATGGAGACTCTTACAGCTGATGTGGAGGTATAAGGACAATTAATTTATAATTATATTTTAAAAATTGTGTTGACACTTTTCAGTAAATTTGCATGCAAGTGGTGTAAAGCTTCCAGTGAGCCAAAGTTTACCATTCTTTAAGTCAAGTTAGTTGGATGATAGTGAGCTGGAAATGCCCTTGCCCAAATTTGGTTGGAAGAGAAATCAATATCTTTAAATGTTATTACAGTACTGTTCTCTCCTTGTAACCACGTGTCTAAAGTTATCTTGTGTACAGTACACTTAACTCATAAATGGTACTTCACTGTATTTGAGAGAAAGCAGTTTACTATCGCCTAAGTTGTGCAGTATTTTATGTTGTCTCCAAGACCATCAAATACTCTTATCACATACTGTACAGTATACTGTATAGTTACATTGTCTTTTTGCTGTAGCTGACAGCAGATTTTATGAATAATTATAATGAAAAGGGCAAGTTTTATCAAGCAAGTTTAATACAAGTACAATAGTGACATATAGGTTTGCATTATTAGGTGGTACTGTACAACCTTCAGTACCTTAAATTGTGAAGAGGACAGATTGTTTAGAATTGTAAGGGCATTTTACATTGAAACTGTATTGTAGTGAAAAGGAACAAGCATTTCCATTATTCATTTCTCCAGAGTAGTGCAAGTGTGCTTTACTGTATATTGTGGTACCTTTTGTTTCTTCAGTGATAGATTCTGTAATACTGTACAGTATGTGTAGCCCATAACTTATGTACGTTCTTCTGATGAAGTTGTAATTTGTTAAATTACTGAATTGTGTTTTTTATATGAAATGTGTTGCTTAAACCATGTACAGTATTAAAGATCAAGCACTTGGTAGATTTTATTAATTGTAGATGTGCATTAGCATTTGATGTAGCTACTATATACTTTGATAAAAAATTAATAAACTTAACCTTTGATGCATATCTGCAGTTCCTGATGAGGCTTCACTTGATGGACTACTCACTTCTTTTGGGAATCCATGACATAGCTCGGGCAGAGATGGATGGAGTTACACAGAATGAGTCTGAAGAAGATGCAGTAGAGGTAGGTGTCACATTGACATGAAAAAATAACAAGAAATTACCTTCATAGGTAGAGGGCAGAATATAAACTATAAAAATGAGAAAGACATAGAAATTTTTATGGACTAATAAGAAATAAAGGTAGGAAAAACCAATAAAATCATACTTACCTGTTGAATGATTTAAGCCTGGTTGCTGTTATAATGCATTACTGGGTGGCTGCCTGTAGTGTAGTGTTCAACATACAGTACTTGCCTTACAAGCAAGTGGACCCATATTTGAGACCTGGGCAGGGTGTAACTTTTTTTTTTTTTTTTTTTTTTTTTTTTTTTTTTTTTTTTTTTTTCTCCGTACAGTATCTACCTAGCAGGAATTAGGGACCTTGATGTTAATTAAATTGCAGATCTTGTTCTTGGATAATGGTTAACTAAGTGTGTGGCAGCTGTGTTGGCAACAGCTTCTACACCTAAAACAAATTCACGCCTAGTTGACCCAAGGGCCGGCCATCCTCAAACATGAGGGAGGAGGGGGCCATTTCCATAATTATATTGCATTAATGTATTTGAACACCGAGATTAGTGAATGCACTAGTCATCAACAATTGAGAATTACGATATATAACTCCCTGTTATAGGCTCGGAAGCTTGAACTAGCAACTTACAGGACAGGAGGTGTGAGCTTTATCCACTGGGCCAAGGGGAAAAGGTTAAAGATACCAAAGTTAAATTTTCAGACAATACATCTAATAGTGATATGTTACTTGTCATTGGATTGCTTATGGTTTTTGGATAAAAATTGCAAAGTTTGCAAGAACTTTGGAGGTTACTAAAAATAAGTACAGTATGAGCAAATGATCTTTGATCACCTTGGGGAGTTGCATTCCTGCCTTTTTTACCAAGAGGTCACATGGAAGTCCTACACATAATTTCCAGTTCTCACTTTGTAAAAGTGATGGTGATAGGAAGTGTATCTTGCTTCAAATTTGAGTAATGGTAACCGGGGACTGCATGCCACCAGGTAATCATGGCTAACCCACAAAAATGTGGAAAATGGCAATGAAATAGTGATGAATGATGGTGATGACTGAATGCAATATGCTAGTTATAGTAAATGTTTGACAAATGTAGTGCATTAATTGTTTGTATATGTTTTTGTTATTTATTCCTAAATTTCTTAATTGTTTTATGTTTTTGATTTCTATGTTTTTATTTTTATTTTTTATTTTTATGTTTTTAATTTCAGGAGGAAGAAGATGATGAGTGTAGTGGTGTACCAACTCCACCTGACTCACCAAACACAGCTGCTCGAGAGCGAGCAACCAGTAATGGTGCCATTGATCCTGATGTTGAAATTTATGCCATTGAGAGTAACGAAAGTTAGTAATTTTCTTTTCTTTATAGGATACTTAAGATGAGGTACAGCCCCTTAAATGATCACTGGAATCTAGTGTAGGTTCTAATATTTTAGGATGTAGTTTCATGAGAGTTTCAGGGATCAGTTTTGGTAATAGTGCTCTTAGTGGTAATTAGAGTGAACAGCATAAATCATTAGGGATGAATCTGTGTTACAAGGCACATTCTTCCCCTGGTTTCACCTTTACATCTCAAACAAGCTTTTATCTGATTTCTTTGCAAGTTTGTAGTCAATCTGGGTTTTTTTATGCAACTTGAAATATACTTGATCTACACCTTTTGCCTTCAATATTCCTTGTTCCAAAGCCTTTTCCACCGTAAACACCTTTCAAACCTGATAAATGTTTACCAATATGGCCTTTTAGATATTCATGCAATACTACAATTTCCCTTTCACTGCATGCAGCAGCTTATCTTGTCCTCTTCTTTAGACCAACCTCTGTGGCATATGCAGATACAACAGTTATCAGATTCTTGCTTGATCACATTTACCCTTATCACCCTTACTCTACTCACTTTTCAGCATTCAAATAAAGATCCCTACACCACCTGACCCAGAATCACTACCTAACCAGAATTTTTTTTACCTTTTATTCTTACCAGTAATCAACCTTGCACATCCTTCTTTTCACCTGGTTTCTTGTACTTAACAGGTATTCAAATTTCTACAGCTCAGTGTTTTGACAACCTCGCACGATCATCCCTGTACTGTAACAACATACAGAATTTCAACTGTGGACTGCTTTCATGCAATTTCCTTTGACAGGTAGTCAGACCATTTGGTGGTGATTTATAAGAAACAGGTTTATTTAGGATCTTTGGATGTATAGTGCTGTCATAGTTGGGTAATAGGATGGGTGTCTCCCAGAGTATGATGTCCTCCTGCTGCTCACCACTGCAATCCTAGGTACCTTACTGTCGTTTTGGTGAACAAGCAAATGCTTTTGAGCAAGCAAATGTAAGAGAGACATTGTAGACTGATGAAAGGTTCAGGTGGTGGTGGGAGGAGAGAAGACAGTTTAAGCTTGTAGGATAATTGTTGGAGTTTGAAATTGTTGACAAAGTAAAGTTTTTTGTATAAAGATGGTGTGGACATACATATCAGAACATTAATATTGGTGAGTGAAATCATAAGTACTGTATACTAGAAGGTGAGGTTTAGGAAATGTTATTAAAAGGGAAGTACGTGTTTAAGAATTTAATTGTGTTAATAAAGCAGTAGTATTTGTATTAGGTAATTTTAGTATCAGTTGCTAAATTTAATGACATTTTCTTTTTTTTCAGGTGCACCTCAACGAGAAATATACTTTATGGCTCTTATTGATGTACTAACTCATTATGGTGTCAAAAAACAGGCAGCTAAGGCTGCAAAGACTGTCAAGTATGGATCAAATGCTGATGGCATATCCACAGTGGAACCTGATCAGTATGGACGTCGGTTTTTGGACTTCATGAACCAGGCCATTGTGTAGGTGTAAACAAGTGTAAAGTTATGGGTGTCAACACCTTTATCCTCAAATGTGTAGATTTTCTTTGCTGAAACTTGTAGTGTATGCTCCAGATTTGAACCCCTCAAATACAGATAGTACTGGATTTATATTTTGTGTGATTTTTTTCATGTACGATTATTATTTATTTATTATTTTTTTCTTGGTAGTTTATACAGTATTTTATTATCGTATACAAGATAGGTTAACTCTGGATGCATATGCGTAGATCATCGTTCCTTTTCTCATACAAGATTAACTTAATAAAATTTATGTTGTACAGAATTGTCTTAGTACGTATAGTTGAAATGCCAATTGAAAGAGGATAAGAACAAATAGAAGTTTCATTATTAGAAGATCCAACATGTGAGAGCAACAGTACATGTAATTAATGAATGTTGCCTATGTTGTGCAAAATTTTCCTCTTTCATAATAGCTGTATTAAAACAAAGCTATTAATTATTGCATAAGTCATCAAGTCCAAGCACTTACTGAATTGTGCTAGGCCAGTTATATCAACCTTATAAATAGATTCCACCAGTCATACTTCTGAGATTTTTGGCCAATCATATCAAGCTCAGAGTATGTTTGGCTAGTCATATCACTCTTTGAGGATGCTTCAACAGTCATGGTTACCTATTTAAAACTGCTTGATCAGTCTTATCAAAGTAAATGATGTCCGTGCTACCAGTATTTGAGTGCTTACATTTAATATGTCTTTACTCTGTTTTGATTCATTTTTTTCCCGAGTAGGAGGGAGTGTACTGATTTACAAAAGGACTGACTTTTAGTGATTTTAAAGAATACTCACATTAGGTTTTCTCTTATTTTCTTGTTAAATGGTAAGGAAATAATTGCAGTTTTGTATCCTTAAGACATGTAACTATAGATACAATTGCCATTGCTTTTTTTTCACATTGATTGTGCCTATCTGCTCAGTTTTGCCCATTTTATGGCCAAAATCTCTCATTTGATGGGATTTGTTGATCATAAAAGGGATATATAAACTTTACACTTGAACCAGCCTTGAGAGCTCAAAGGATAAATGTCTTAGAGGAGTAAAGTGAGGAAGTGTATCTGAAAATGTAGTCTTAGAAATTTGTATATGTTATTTTTAGATATAAAAGTGCTATCTATCTGTCAGACATAGGTAGATAATAAAAAGGCTTGCCAATACAGTCCGTGGAATTGTCATACTAGTCCATACAACAATATTGTAGTGATGCATTGCCCTGTGAGGAGCTTTAACAAATTGTAGACATGTCAGTTTGATGTCTCTGCCCTCCTTAAAATGAAAACTGTCTTTCTCTATAAATTTTCAATCACAGGCAAGTAAACTCTATGTAACCAATAAGCTTGGTATGATTGTAAGCATGCATGAACTTTGCGGAACACCAGATTTTTTTTTAAATATATCAAGCTGCCTTGTCATGGGCTGTATAAGGCTAGAAGTTGGGCATAGCTTCAGAAAGAAAGAACCTCTTTGTAGTGGTCATTGTTGAGACTGTTTTGGCTGGACTCAGAAAAGTCTGTCGGAATTCATTTGAAGTCACAGTGTTGATTACTGAATGTTGTTGAGTAATGTTTATATGTATGTGATTAGTAGATAATGAAGTATTTGCTTGTATTAATATAAATTAGAGGAATGAATGGAGTCAAACGTGAGGTATCATGCATTGAGTGAATAGTGTTATCAACAGAATCAGTGAAGTGAGAAAGCTCTTGAATTGAGGAAATTGATAGTATCCAGAGGATGTACTGATACCAGTCCATAGGGAGAATATTCTACACAGCCACCCAGAGGTAGACAATAGCCTTAAGGAATATAAGAATATTCTAGAGGCTTGTAGTTATTATGTAAAGATATATATATAAATAAATTTGTATCATGTTCTTAGGAAAACAAGGATTTTTTTCTTTCAACATAGTGGATAAAACAAGGATTTTGTATTGGTGTTTAGAGCTGCCTTTTTCCTTGAGTGTGTTTACTGTCTGTAGAATATCTTAGCAAGGTTTTTAATTTAAATTTATTATATTAAGGCGATTTAGCTTTCAGTCTTGCTTCTATTTATTACAACAAATTTATCATACAAATTGTAGGATGTTTGCAGCAACTAATTTTTTTCTTCTGCTGTATGCATATGGAGAAGTAGCTTTACCTTAATGCACATTTTGTTTGATTAGAAGGGGTAGTTGGCCATCATTACCTAAGAAAAAGGATCAGTTAGTTCTGTATTATGATTGGCTGTTGAGTATATACTTAGTCTCTCAGCTTTTCAGGAGTTAGTGATAGGTTTAGGCAGTTCATTTTGTTTCTAAACAAACCAAATTTATTTCATAAGCCAAATAGTACACCAGCTTTACTATAAAAAAAATTCTTTAATTCATTTGAATATAAGGTTGACTCCTTTACCCCAAGTTTGTTGTGTAATTCATGACAAAATATCTTTGTTGAGGACACAACCAAACTGCCCCTGTAGTTTGTAACTCAGCTGTAGACTGATATAGCATAGTTGAAGCTAATCAAGTGTACTTAAGGAGTAACTGCAAATTTTATTGAATATTTCTTGCATTTTAAGGATAAGATGTCTCAAAGCAGTGTGGTCATATGTGGCTGGTTTCTGTGATGAATATGCACTGTCAGGTTGTCTGGATTTGAATCTCACTGGTATGAGTAACTTGGTGGTAAAGACTTGAGAAGAGAAGGGGGGCGGACTGTGACTCATGAAGAGCCAATTACGAGACCAATTTTAGTTAATTCATGGCTTGGTCTCCTTGCAACTGTGTTGAATTTGATTGAATTAGGTGGTGTGTGTGAAGCTGTCAGTTATCACCTCCATAAATAACTGTATATAGGGCACTCAACATTTTTTATCATACTTTAGGACTCAATGTTGTTTATTAATGCATTAAGACAGTATGTTATTTAATTATTGTGCAATAGAGGAGTACATAGTTTACTCATTTTGTAATAGATAATAGGTGTATAAATTGAATAGTGTTGATTTAGGTCATGGTTGAAGTTATTCAGTAAGAACCTGTCAAAAACTTTTGACATTTTCCCTCAGAATGTTAAAAAGTGTGTAAGAAGTGTGTGGACAATTATTTCTCTTCTTAAATATGTATTATTAGCCACCATGCACAAGGTGTGGAGACAGAGAGATGCAGGTAATATCTCTTTAGCAAGTACTAAAAATTATAAGGTATGTGGAGATGTGAAGAAGAATGTGATATTGGGGATTAAGGTTTTGTAAGTGATAAACCAAGACTCGTATCAAAATCTTTAAAAACATGATTTTGAAGCGATTTATTAATTTACAGTTTTGTTACTGAAGTATTGTACATCGCAGAAATGTATATTATTGAGATAAAGTTTATACTTCATTCAGAATATAAAAAAAATGGATCTTTATTTTGAAAATAGTGAAAACTTTCTCTTGGGTTGAATTGGCCTATATTGTTTAATCATAAGAATTAAATTATTATTTTTTTATTATTATTATTGAGTTTTTTCAGGTACAAGTAAGTTATCTATACAGTATATGATAGACTTCTCTGGGTTGTACTTTCTATGGTATTGAGTTAAAATATTAGGGTGAGGGAAGATGTGGATGAGAAAGGATATAGAGAACTGTGCAGTATTATGGCAGAATAGGAATGCCTGGAGTAGGTTCTGATCTATCAACTCTGCTGGAGACTGTGTAATGAATAGTTTTTATAGTCTAGGGTCATGTTTAATCAACCAAATGAGCATATATGTGCACCACTGAAGAGAACCTCAAGAAAGAATAGGGTTCTTGTGAATTGAAAAATTACTTAAAATGAATCCAGAACTGATCTCATCATAGGTGACGTTCATAACTTGTGTGGGTTGCAGATACCTCTATCACTTACTATGTTATATTTCTCCAAAAGAATATATTTTAAGAGGGCTAAGCTGTAAACCTTGTGAATTATATCATTAGTATTGAGAGGAAGTTCAGATAGCTTTAATAGTGTTACCATCAAATGTTTGTTTCAGCCTCAATCTAATCGTCATTAAAGAATTGGTCTGAAAAGAGTAATATCGATGTCTTATAGTGGCTATAAGTCTTATAAGGCTTTCATATGCTGTATTATAAATAAAGGTGCAGGAAAAAAATGCTCACCCTTCATAACTTTATAAGGACAGAGAAAAGAACATACTGGAAGACCTTTTTCAGAATTTTTTCATGTGGCACCATCATTCTTGTACCTACTTAATTACACACATATACTATATGTATATCTGATGCCTTGTTCCTCTGGGAACTACAATATCTCATAAGTTGAGTGTCCACAGCAAAAAACCTCCAGCCTGGTCCATTCCTTCTTGCTCTCAAGCACCTATTTTTGTTTCTTATGTACAGTATGTGTGAATGAAGGAATTAGTGTTGAACTAGTTTTCTGCAGCACATCAAGATTTTAACTGGATCTAATGAATGCAAAAATTAGTGTGCTAGGATGATGATACTGTACTGTACTTTTATAAGATTTACATTGTGGTCTTAAGTACAGTTATATTCCACCTGCTTTTTGGATCTTGCTATAACAACAGTACCTCTGCTACAATATTTGTTTTCATATTTTCGGTTTGAAAATTTGAGTTCATCGTCATTATAGATACTGTATTTAAATGTTCCTTGATGTCTTGATGTAGAAGATAACATTTATTGGTGTTACTGTACCCTGTTTATTAGGGTCTTTTGGGACATATGAGATAAAGATTTTCAACTAAAGTTATCAGTTAAATTTGTATTGAATTCACAAATCATGGGACATTTTTTTTCTGTGAGTTTAAACTTGTATTATGTGCATTCAAGGTAGAAAATCTGCCTTATAATAACAAGTGATTGTTAGTAAAGCTAAAATCAGCACATGGGAGAGAGAAAGGCTTGGATGCAGGGTTTGCTTTATGTGTTTACAGTTAAACCCAGTACAGTATACCATAGATGCAATGCAATATTAGCAACATTATATGCTCTACGGGATGCCCAGGGAGAATACTACTCCATAAAGGGATTCAATATATAACCCCGTACATATGTTAACTATAGATGCAGAAATATTATACACCTGTACACACCTTTGCATTTCAAACTATTGTTAACCAAAAGCTGTGTTGTTCAGGATTATCTGGGACATAAAATGAGAATACTATTACTGAAATTTCAGTACATTTTGTAGTATTTACAAGCACTTATGGATACACAGTGTGAATAAATAATGTTAATGAATCACCTCTACAAAAACTGTTGTCCTGGATAATGTAGAAGCTGTTTGGGAGATATTTTATGAAAAATACAGTACAGTACTTTAATATACTGCAATTAGAGATCACTTGCATATGATAGCTGCAGTATATCAGCTGATACCTTAGAAAGAAAGATGGAGAAATAGAAAAATAATATTCACTAATCCATTTTTTCTTAATTGCAAATTAGATGGCAAGTTCACAATGAAAGCTCTTGGCTAGCTCTTACAGGCTTAAAGAATCAGTATAGTTATATTTAGTGTTGATGTCCAGGATGATAGTGTTCTTGATATAATTTTAGTACCTTGTTTGAACTGTACATTACTGCACATTCTCACCTCTTCTGAGAAGCTAACATGTCTCTGGCACATTTAATAGTCCAGGTATTTTATCAGTGCCTCACATTATATACTATATACTGTATAGAGGTGTAGGATAATAAGGTTGTACTTTATTTGATGGTAACTTAACATCTTTGGTCCAACCTGTGTATTTTTTTAAGTTTATATGTCAAGATAATTTTTTGTCGTAGGTGCGTCAACTGCCGGGTTTATTTTTAACAGTCAATCCTTTTTCTTATGAGATATTGTGAAGCACAGAATGAACATTCATGTATGGCCCTCAGACAGTAAGAGGAGGCCTTAATGAACATTCTTCTTTAGTTTAGAACTTATAGATGACTTAAGTGCAACTTCATGTAACTTCACTCGTTTTACAGTATTTGATACTGTATCCATAACAAATGAATAAAGAAACGAATCTTAAATATGATTTGATAAGTGTATCACTCCATTGATTATACATTTTATCAATAAAGTCAGGGGAGATGTGCAAACCAGAATTTTTATTATTATTATTATTATTATTATTATTATTATTATTATTATTATTATTATTATGCAATTAATAGTATGATGCAGTTAACAACAAGAAGAAAATCATAATAAACTGAACTTAGTTGTCAAGTTTCTCTGAAGTTAAAAAACTTAGTAAAAGTCATAAACGATAAAAACTAATAAGTACATGCCTTGAGATTTGATAACAATTAAATCTATTTGTGCTAGGTACATTATTTTTTAATTTGATCTAATCATTATCTGTATTATTATTATTACTGTACTATTGAAACTGTAGTTTATAGGGTTTGTAGTATAATATGCTGCAAACACATATACTTAGGTGTGAGGCTGCCTTGCTGGTTGATTATGTTTAAAAGTAGGGAGAGTAGACTGGAACTTTGTGTCACAGCAAGCAGTGAGTTGGCTTAACACTACATGATATAGGCTATGTAGTTTTTTACACCCTTGAGTTAATATAATCCATCTCATTTCACAGTGTCCATGTATATTTTGCATCTGGTATAGATAAAAGATCATTAAAAATACCAAGAGAAAATATAAAAGACATGATTGTCATACAGATGCATTTTTATGGTTTAAATGGGACTTCAGATATGGATGATCAGAGGTAAAACATTTTTGTGGTTTATATTCTCCATGTTGAGCTTCTACTTGTGTTCCAGCACTTACTTACTGTCTTGCTCAAGTGAGGGAAAATGTGTAGGTGTTATTTTTTTTTCATCCATGAACAAATTTTTTGTGTGCACACATTAAGTATGGGAAACTTTTAACAAAACTTGTGGCAATGCATGGCTTCTAGCATCATTATGCATGCATTGCTAATTGACTTCCATGTTGATGATATGCATATGCTCTTTAAAGTTGAAATATAGGTAAGAGGTTCACAAGTATTTGAATACATATTGTAAAATTTGAAGTTGTTCAGATTTTTAATGACAAATTACATGATATGTGATACAGCATTTCATACTTGTGTTATGGCACGTAAGATCCGGTTTAAGCATTTACCGTTGGCCTGCCACCAGCATATGCCTATTAGCCCAGTCAGATGTACATTAGGTTGCCTCCTCAAGCATCCTGATTCCATGATCCTACTGTCCCTAGTTACCTGCCTCTCTTACGACCTCTTTGTAGCAGTATGCTCACCACTGTCCACCTCCCATTTTGTAATTTTATATTCTTATCTTGATGACAATGGCAACTGCATCTGACTGGTTTCTCCGTTAGTCATATACAGTCTATACATTTGCCTCCATCCTCACTGTTTTAAGTGTAAATCTGTGGATTATGGATAAGTAGCTGTTTAGGCAATTCACATGTCTCTTACTGATGGTCGTGTGTGTATATTCAGTTACCACTTCGTGTACAGTATGTAGTGATGCCAGCTTGTGTTAATTTTTTTGTATTTATGTTGTGGCTTGTCATATAAATACATTACTGCTACTTTTTCTTCACATGGCTCTTCTAGATGATGACAAGAGTAGCAGGAACAGGAAGGAGGCCATTGTTGTCAGACTTCATACAAAAGATCAAAGCTCAAGACTTTTGTCAGTTTTTTAGCTCATTAATTATAAGAACTGTAATTTTTTTTGTGTTTTGATACTTAATTTGTTTTTTGTTTTGTTTTTTCCTGTAAACCTTGTTATGAAAGATCACTTCTAATGTATTTTTTTCCTGTTAAAGTATAGTATTACATAAAAACCAGCGTCAGTGCTAGTTTCAAACCACAATTCTTGCCGAAAGTCCAAATAACTTATTTAACTATATTATTAATTTTGCATTAGTTTACTGAATGTAGTCTTAATAACTCTTGGCAAATGGAGAATGTTATTGAGAATTATTCCATGATGAGTTGGAAATTATTTCATCAGGGGCAACCTATTTAAACATCGTCAAAAATCATATATGGACAGTTGGATGTGAATCTCAAGCATGGTTCCATTTCAGCTATCAAATATATTTTAACCTACAGTATCTTAAGTCATATTTAGATAAAAATTGTCCATGAACAGTAGTAGAAGCACTGTTTGCTTTAGCAGCAACAGGACTGAGATGAAAAGATCAATAATTACAGCAGTCACTATTTCAGGATGTGAGGGTGTGCTGTTATTAAACTTTCAGTATTTTCAGTTGTGTGTGTCTGGTTCATATAAATATTTATTCACAAGCATTAAATTTTCTTGTGTGTGTTAATAACAGTAAACATTAATTCAGCCTGAATAATGTTAATCATATTTTCACAATTTTGAAAATTTGGCTAATCTGGGAGCAGGTCTGATGAAGCTTTGGTGCCATGTCAGGCCCAGGAATATCAAGCCAGGTGAGGACTGTGACTTTCTTGTTATCATAACATTACAGTGACTGAAGGAGCCAGGTCCATAGCATCATAAGTTTGTTCAATGCTTAATTTCTAAGTTTCTATAAGAACTTTGTGTCTAAGGTATACTCTGTAGCCCGGCAGGTAACGTCAAAGCTTTTGGGTATGGAGACTGTAGTTCAGGCTATACTGAGTTGAAGCAGTATCTAGTTTTTCAGTTTTCTAGAGACAAGATACCTAATTATTCAGTACTGTATATCCGAATGCATTACTTATTCATGATTATTAGTTACAGTACTTTATAATGTTACGATGAAATTATTATTGGATTCACATACAGTATTTGATAATCCCAGATGTTAAATAAATAATGTTTAGGCAGTGGGGTTACAGTCTTCCCACTACAAAGGTCTTGAGATCTCTCTTCCCTTCCCCGTCCAAAGTTTGACCAGTTTACCCCACTCGCAAGTTGCCTTAGGAAACATGTCAGGTGTGTGACTGCTGTACATGCAATAGGTTTCCCTGTCTTTTACTTAAATCACTCTTGTCATGGAGAATTACAGGATAGTTTTATCTTATGCAAAAGTATTGCTTCTCTGTATATGAGAAAAAAAGAAAATGCACTTCAGGACATTTTCATTAGTGTTGTTGCTTGGTTTTATATTTTTCAATCATTAATAGTAGAAACATTAGGAGCATGCTAGACAACTTATTCTTTCAATTATTTGATTTTGCAGTAGCTGGGTCTTGTTTCAAACAATCTTTTGACAAACTGTGTTTACTTTGAAATTAAACAAACTACCAAAGGAATTAAACGAAAATAAAATAAAATTTGTGTACTAGTATTTTACGAAGAGATGGATAAAATATTGTCCATTATCGTTTATTTTGAGAGCAACGTTCAGAAGATAGCATTTCATTAAGCAATACCATGATGCTTTACTATCAACTGTTGCAGATAAAACATTCTAAATCTCTGCTTTGTTAACAAAAAGGTGCATGCATGCTGTAGTAGGTGCATGAATACATACTAATGGAGAAAATAATCAAGCTTTTGCATCAGCCCCCTGCTTTATGTAGGACATAAAAGATAGCTTACCGGTATGCATTCTATAATTGTGAACTTTCTCCAACACTTTGGGAAGCAGTGTAAGGCAATGTTCTATGTGGATCAGTTGTTGATATTGAATTAGGTTATTTGCTTGACCAATATTTTTACTTTGACAAATTGTAAGATGACTAAATAACAACTCACGGTATCCTTAATTGGAGGTTCTGTACCATTACACCTATGTATTAACTCCCCCTTTTGTGCTTGATTTATCCTTAGTCCAGTAATTTATATATTTTTTATGGATGTTACTTGTTCACATACAGTACTTTGTTCAGGGTTTATGCATGTACGATAGAAATAATGAAGTAATTAGCTGGATAAAAAAAAGAAGTCTACAGGATTTTGTAACAAATTTCACCATTGGATTTACTCCTGTAGGAGTTTCAGAGTAAATACAAGATTGATATGAATACCTCCAATGAAGTGCAGTAAGGGTAGACCTTGGGAGTAAAGCACATGACAGAAACAAGTGGTGAGAGGAAAATTTATTTAGAGATTCTCTGTGCATGGCACTTAATGCCTTCGCAGAATGTGTTTAAAGTAAAAACTGAACTTTTATTAGCTACTGCATTTAGATTTACACAAAGAAATTACTATTTATTTTTGTTCTACTAATAGTTCTCATGACCTTTTTCTATTATATATGAAAGAAACAAATGAATTTCTGTAAAGCCAGCAGTTTGTGGTGTCTTTCAGTTTGATAAATTCCACTGAGGTTAATATGGGCCTCATAGATTTACTCCCGAGGTGCTCACAGGAAGGCAAGAAGTACAACTGTCAGTATGACCTGGTTAGCAGTTATGAGGTATAGTAATAGATTTGTATATAACTCTTTGCTGTTTAGAATGGAGTAATCTAAAATGTGACTACAGTACATACTGCATCATGATTTCAAGAGACCTGTTTCATTTGATAAGACATTATTATTGTACTCGGCTTATTGAATGTACTTGCAAGCTTCACATGTACCCATTTGGTTCTGTCTCTTTTATCATGATATTTCTTCTGACATTCTTCTGTTTACTTTACAAAGAGCTGTGATGATGTATATGTTTATTTTTTGTACATACTCTCTTTTTTTTTTTCAAGTTCCATCAGTGGCGCTTAAGTACAGGATTGAAGGCTGCATGTTACCTGTTGTTTTATTTTGTAATATCCTTGTCTTAAGAAATAAATTGATGATGTATTAAAGGTATCTAAATTCTGTAATCATATTGAAAAAGTACTGTATACTTTATTGGTATGTACTTTTGACAGTATATGGTTTAGAGTAGCTGTAATTTTTTTTAGTGAGATTGATGTGAAATACGTAGGTTGAAGTCGATTGGGGATACAGAAGTACAATACAGTACATACTGTGTAGCATAAGTTTTAAATAATGTAAAATACATTATGGGAAGTTATACGAGATGATGAATCCACTGAAAATAGCTACAGTATAAATTTTTAATGAGCTATAGCAGTATCACCTGTTAAAGGGACTTTGGAAAATAATAATTTGTCATAAAATTTCTAAGAAAACACAGGTAACCATGCAGTAATGAATTTCATTGAGGAGGCAAACTTCTTGCAATGCTTAGCTCTTGAGAGTACAGTATTGCAGTCAAAGTGTTGGGGGGGGGGGGGCACACTTGGTCCCTCCCCGATTCTGGAAAAACGTTCTAATATTTTGTCCTTGTTTGTAAGATATTGTACAGTATTTATTAACATAATTTTAACCCCTAATGGCAGTGGTGTATATAAGTTTCTGGAAAGGGGGGCTCCAAGACTTGAAGATAGGGACATTATTTTATTTCCATCCAGTGGTGTAAGCAGGGTGCTAGCATAGTGAAGGTTCTGTAAGCTCCTTCCCCACCAAATTTTTTTTGAAATTTTACAAATTTCAGGGACTTTTTAAGACCATCTGCAATGAATAGTAGGACATATTTTATGTCCCAAATTAGTACTTCATTCTATTGACATGGTTCAATCACTCAAGCTGATATCAGTCAGAATTTCAGAAAGCAGCCTTATTGAAATAACACTCCCTCCCCAGCCACACTCATTAATGTTGGTCTGCTCTGACCACAAGCAACTGTTTCCTAGATATATGCTTATTTAAAAATGCTAAGGTACACAGTCATTCCCATCACTCAACCAGAGGAAAATATGCAAGACATATAATACCTCTTGGACACCCCTTGACAGGACCAGCACATATATCATTCTCTATATTGCTGTACGCAGATCTGGTGAGGGGAAGCTTCAGTATAATTTACCTCTAGCAGACTGAGTTTTGTGTGAAAATATGAATGATATTGTGCAATCTGCACAGTGCAGAAATATTACTCTGGTAGAAATCTTTGTTCTGTTGGAGACTTTCCTCCCTGACTATGTGCCTGAATTTCTAAGTTCTAAGGTCCTTGCTACTTAATTGCGTTGGGTTGAATGAGTTGAGGGCAGTAGCAAAAAGGGGGCCATGACCACATTTCCCCCCTATGCAGTATATGCGACTGTCTGGTGGATATATTCCACAACAGTTGCAGGAGAAAGGGTCACCCTGTTCTGGACATATCCTGCAACTCTGCCACTATTGTAATATATATCTCGTGGGTCTAATTTAAAATTTCCATGTCTTGTATTTGCCGAGCATCTTTGTGGAGGCCTCGGAGAAGTGCCCAGAGTCAGAGTATGCCTCTTGTCCATTAATAATGGATGAAACACGGGTGACTGCATGCAGGAGGAAACTGGTATCTTTACTGGACTGTATATAGTACAGTATTTGATTTGGAGGTAATGATTTGACTAGTAAGTCCATCCAGTAAATGTTAGATTAATTTGACTGATGGGGATGATGAATATGGTGGCGGTGGGGTAGCATTCAGAAGCTACCCATGAGACTCCCATTTGTGACTGGATTCTTGAGTGAATCTTTGTTTAATCCCCCCTCCTTCCATCCCAACCCAATCCCTGATGGTGTAAATCATCAGTTTATGGTAAGAATCATCATTATTATTATTATTCAGGCCAGCGGGGTAATAACCCCACAAAATACCATCACTCCTCAAAGGGTTAAGGCATAAGTTATAATTGGTGAATAAAAAAGAAAATACAGAGTCCTGTACTTAATTTTATAATGTAGTTTTAAGATGTTTACTCTAACATCAAAAGTAATGCCCCCTCCAAAAAAGGGGACCATTTTAAAATATTTTACAAAACCAAATTATCAATATAAGGTGTCTTGGAGATGTTTCTCCTTTTGCCCCGAAGAGTTTAACAACTCAACATACAGGGTACTTCATCGACACAGCAATTTCAAGTTGTAATAGATTTCTCTGGCACAAGCATTTTTTGTACAGTAATGCACTGTAATTCCTAATTTTCAACAATTTAAGGTTAAGTTCTCAAACATACCTTTTGGATTATAGTAAAATCGTTAATTACTGCCACACTGGCAATTGTTTTGCCGAATGCAAGGAGATTTCAAGAAATTTTCCAATACTCCTGTGTTTCAGCTTATTTGGATCCCCTCCCCCCTTCAGATTTCTTAGGACCAGACTGTGTACTCTTCGGTACGGTAGTTCAGTTGCACTCGCAAATATTTATAAATGTTGCAGTGTCTACAAAAACAAAATTCTATTTCAAGGGAATAATAAACGGTTATTGCATTCCTGTACTAATCAAAATTCACGTGTAAGAATATCCATAATTGCTGTCGCCTAAAAATCATGTCTTGTAGCCCAATGCAAGATCTACTGTACAGTAGATTCTTTTTTAAAAGTCAAGATATTCCAAATATCTCAAATATCAATATTTATTAATTTAACGTAAAATTTTAATCATTAGTAAGATAATATGTCAATTAATTTCACTGGAAAGAAGTCATTTTAATAACTATGGCAGAACTTGAGTTATCTTTCCTGATTTAAGCGTTGACCCCCCCCCTCCTCCCTTGATGCGAGGGACATGGCGGAGTAATGTGGTTAATTTACAGTTCTCGTAAACTTTAAATGGTGTCGAGTGTGCTTATCAAAGCAATAACCTATTTATGTATACAAAACAGTGCTTGTGACATTGGATACTGTAATTTATGGAATTATTTGATTGGTGCATTGTAGTGCGTGAGGCGTTAGAAGTGTTCACCGGGACAACAAAGGTGAGTACTGTACAAATTAAATGACCTCGACGACTCCGTACTGTAGTAAATTAAAACAACGTCCACTACACTATGTTTATATGTGATATTTTACTAGTAATGGATAAATTTGGCAGTGCTAAATAATCCCTTCTTGCTAATGTAAGATGTAATTGAAGGTTTTTAATTTACCAAGGCAGTGATTTAATTTTCATGATTTCTGGCAAGATGGCGGCCACATCATTGGTTACTTCCGGTGACAGTATAATGGAAGAATCCCACGACTGTTTTCCAATCCAAAGTTTATTAGTTTAGTTAAAAATCGCTGTAATTTTTACCTTGACGGTTGCGGTACATTGAATATTTTTTTAAATAGGCGAAATAAATGGACCACGCAATCCTATTCAAAGATAGTAGGTTTGGTTAGTGGGTTTTACCCATTTTAGAAACTGCAATTATCACAAAAAATGCAATTAAAACTTAGTTTAAGGTGTTAAAATTTCGAGTCTACTATTTCTTCGACGTTTGTAGAAAGAAAAACATTTAAAAGGATAAAATCGACCCTGATACTGTATAACTACGTGTAAGGTCGCATTCTGAAGAGTATAACTTTATTTCAGCGGTAAGGTAGAATTAAATCTAATTCTAAGACCTGCGTCGGAACCCAGAGAAAAACATATTCCAATGAAATTAAATGGGGGTATATGGTAGTTTTGCTGCTTTCTCTAAGTGATAAACTAAGCCATTTTTTGCTATCACAATTTCCTCACTCTTTTCTTCTCAGCCTCTACTCTCCTCCCTACGCCCAGTTTCTAACATTTTCTTTAAACCTGGCGGTAGCAGGAACCAGAGGCGCACAAGATTCTTAAAGATTTGCATAGTATTGTTACCCTTTAACTGGTGATGTTTAATCCCATCTAACTAACTTACTCATAAGCCACGATGCAAAGATCCCCCCACCCTCCAAAAACCCTCGAAATTGTACTGGTTTTACCATAACTAAATTATATTATTTCCTGAGTTACGGGAAAATTATTATTAAAATCTTTTGAGAATTCGTAGCAGCAGGCCGGGGCACAATTCGTGGGGCTTCCGTGATAAGGTGGTGGCGGGCGTGTTTGTGGTCTGGGACTGCGGGGTCGGACGGCGGAGGCGGACGGCTTTGGTACAGAAGTTGCTTATCATCACACACAAACCTGTGAGGCGCCCCCCAACATTTATTCTCTTCTATACGTTTTCTCCTCTTTGTTATTTTTTTAATTGAATGTACTAAACGAAGGAGTCGGGCTTCTGTATCGAGAGTCTTATCTTCATTCGTATTTCGGTACAATTCACAGGTCATCGTTGTAAAGGGGCGGAGGGATAAGGGGTACGTTAGTTTTTATTTGTGTATATGTTTATATGTTTGCGTGTTTATTTTTCAGGTATTGTTATTTGTTTGAGCATTTGATTAGATTTTTACGTTGGTATTCATATACTTGCATATTTAATCATTTATAGTTATTTATTTAAAAATGTTCTATTTATTTGTTATATTTTATTTATTACCATATTTCGTTGTATTAAGGTTATCATGTTTCTTTGTTATCATTCTGAGCTGAGGTAAGAACAGCTGTTTTACTGCCGAAATGTAGTTGTGTTGCGTACTTTAGTGCGGTTTTTTTTTAGTTGAGAAAAAATGTCCTGCCCCTTAAGAGTTACAGCTGATTGGTTGTTGCAAACCTGTCCGATTTTGTCCTGAGTAATGATGTATTTCTAAATGAGTTTATTCATAATGACCGTTTCTGACGAGAAAGATATTTAACTAAATTATATAAAGGTTACATACCTTCGTTATTTCAAACAGGAGCACGTAGGAAGTTTATCAGAAGTATTGTACGTGAATTAACTGATAAACTCGGGTAGCAAATTTACGATTTCGGAGGATGCATTTAATACATGCTTATTTTTACCTACAATAAGACATACTAAGACAAATTACATATCAGTAATAGTACATTATGCAAAAACAACATTTTA